TCGCATTTTGCTCTGAAGCAGCAGCGACTGCAGCAATTGCCACAGTCTCTACAGTCTCGGTGGGACGAGGCTGGATGCCTCGTAGCTCGTCGTACAGAGGTGGGTAGCAAATGGCTGCCTCGGCCAGTAAACATGTCTCAGCCATCATGAGAACTTCACACGGCGTCAGTCATGTCATAATCATCATGCGAAGAACACACACCAGACTCTACGGGATAAGTTCCCTTTGCAGTTTCTCCCGACAACATCACGCAATCGGCACCATCAAGGACAGCATTGGCCACGTCACTGATTTCAGCACGAGTGGGCCTGGGGTTGTACTGTGCGTGATCTGAGCAATGCTCAGAAGGAATCAGGTCGATTAACACATACCGTCATTGACTATAAGTAGCGTGTATTCAGTGAACGCACTATCGCACGATGAGCAATCTACGTACCTCGAGCATCTGGGTTGCCACAATGACTGGCTTCCCAGCGATGTTGCACTTCGCAATCATCATCTTTTGTGCCAAGAAGACCTGGCTTGCGGGGATCTCGATACCGAGGTCACCACGAGCAACCATAACACCATCAGTTTCTCGCAAGATCTCGTCAAAGTTTTCAACACCCTGCTCGTTCTCGATCTTCACGATGATTTTGATGTTTGCACCATCCGGCCCTAGAACTGTACGAATGTCTTTAACATCCTGGCCGCGGCGGATAAATGACGCGAAGACCATGTCAACACCATTCTTGACACCAAAAAGCAGGTCCTTTTTGTCCTTCTCAGAGAGAGCAGGAAGGTCGACTTCAGTCTTTGGAAGGTTTACACCCTTGCGAGAAGAGAGGGTGCCGTTGTTCACGGCACGTACGCGAACGTTGGGGCCCTCAATACCCAAGACGAGCAGAGAGAGAATACCTAGGCAGTTATTAAATGAATAAAATAATTCAAAGGAATCACAGATAAACGTACCATCATCGATGTAGATGAGCTTGCCGGGAGCAGTGACCTTTGGCAAGTTTTTCTACAGAAATATGTTAGTGTGAAACGCACAGACGAGTATTCCCTGCGTACGTAGTCAAACCATAGGACCTTGTCGTCACAAATCTCGCTGTGCTTGTCTTCTGTTGAGATGATGAATTCGTGGCCAGCCTTGATGGGCACCTAAAGAAGCAAGGTGAAACATGATGTCAATCACCTGGTGGCGTCAACGATAAAGATCAGACGCATACATCTTTTCCATCTCTCATCAAACCCGTGCGGATTTCGGGGCCTTTCTGTTATCAGCCGAATATCAGCATGAATTTCCGACACGAGCGCATGAGCCTTACCGTGTCCAAAGCAATCGCGACTGGTCGTCCACTGGGATCCGCTAATATCGGGTATCAGCCCAACAGTCGTATGATCGGACAATTCGAATTACCCGCAACCATCTTTCTGGTGTTATCGATGACACTCTGGTGGTAATCATATGAACCATGGGAAAAGTTCATGCGAACTGAGAGAAGGGAAGCGAGTCAGTCGTCGTAGAAATTGTATGTATGATCATCACTGACCAACGTTGACACCAGCGCGTCTCAGGGCGCCAAGTTTCTCGACGGTGTTCGTGTTCGGACCTAGAGAGGATCAACATTGTACTAAACATCGACGATCGCACAAATAGCGCACCGATAGTTGCGATGATCGAGGTCTGGAAGGTTGTGATTAGATAAAGCATGGATGGTTAGGAAACAACTGACCTTGCGAAGGAACTTGGTGTCAGCAGTGGGTTGGGGGGCATTGGAGACGCTCAAGGTGGAGTTCCACTCGAGCTGCGATCGGATACCATCGTAGGTGAACATCTTGTTGGTTCTGGCAACGTTGGATAGGAATCGATTATCTGAGGAAGAAAGGATATTATCAGCACTCGTAGACGATATAAGTCTTTTAGCGGTGCTAGCGAGAAAAAAACCAGTGCGGATCATACGATGTTGTTTTGGCTCGGGTTCGGTGACTTACCTGATGATGGCAGGGTTGAGGGAGCAATGTCTACCAAATGTCAACCAAATGTCCACACATCTGTGTATTTATCCATCCTTTGTTGATCCCTGCATTGATCTAATCGATTTCCACTTAATTGACAACCCGCACCAATCGCCTGCTCCTCGTGTTGGTCGTATCCATGTCAGGCCGCCGCCTATTAGTGCAATTTTGACACGAACGTTCCAGGCTTTACGTTGACTATATCGGACGATAGCTAGCAAGTATTGTGATTAAACTAACAAATATGGACCCATCATGAATTGACAATACGATAAAAAAATCTTGCCAGCATGTCTGGCTTACAGAAATCCACTCAAGAAAATGAATCGGTAGAAAGAACGGTAGGTACGGGAACTGGGAGTTTGACGACAGCGATGATCTGAAAGATAAGACAGAGCAAACGAAGAGCAACAGCAACGAGAATCGACGACAGCATATCTGAATCAATGTTACATCACTCTTAACGTCCAACCATGCAAACCTCCATCAGCCGCAGCCGCAGCCTGCGCCGCAGCGAGCCAGGTAGCGTCCGCTGATCCCCCTGGCGGTGCTAGGACACCGCCAGGTGCCATCGACCCTAGCTCCATAGCCTGAAATACGTTTTCGCAACTGATTGTTCGTCCAGAGTGATAACCAATACCATCCGAGGCGCGAATGAACAATAGGGGAAGACTCCGGCCAGCGATGGAAGGTGGAGGGTGTGATTGTGAACTACTTCCGTTGGGCCCGTCAAGCGGCGTTCCATGTTCACTGTGTTGCGGTGATTGCCGATGAATGAGACCGTCTGGGGTCATTACGCTCGGAGTCATCACGTCCTCTTCAAGCGCCTTAATAATTTCAGCCAATGATGGTAGCTCCACTGTCACGATGGTGTGCAAAGGGGGCTGAGTGAGATATCGTGACGCAGCATCGGCAGGAGAACTTGCAACGTCTTCACCTCCACCCACCACTACCTCACTAGATGAACCGGGCATGGCAGAACCGAAAGCGGCGATGTTAGTTAATGGTCCTGGGGGAGCAGCCTGATAGAAACGCGCTCTGAGAGGACCAAGGCCACCTAAATACACGGTCAGTGGCATTTGAGTTCGTGTCTTTGGGTCTTCATAGAAGAAGTGTGACACGGTCATTTCGAGTATATTGTTCGTTGGTCGGTACACTGGCGCCGTGAATAGTGTCGGGAAGGGTGTGATGGGCATCTCGGGTATTGAGTTACTATGCTGACCAAACGCATCAAAGAATGTATACTGGAACTTGGCTATTCGAGCGTTATTAGTGCAATCCAAACTGCTCAATGAAAAGCACTCACAAATGCCCACAATTGTCCAACATAAATAGTCATCTACTTCATCGATCAAGCTTCGCACGCCATCTTTCATCTCATCTCGTATGCGAGGCGATTGAAAGATCAGGGGGTGTGTTCCACCCTGAGCCGGTGCCCCTGGGACAGATGGGGTAGAGTTCGGAGCACCAGGTATGGGACCGGCGGCAGACAAATAATGTCTCGTACCATCCTGATTCACTCTTTGCAGAGCAATTTTCTGCATTTGACTCACAGGTCCACCATCCTCAGCAGATACGCGACCTTTGTCTACTTTGCGAATGATAAGGGGTGACGTGGCGATATTAGACAGTGTGTCGGAAAGGACGACCTCACATCCGTAAGTGACAGGTTGCGGACCGGCTGAACGTGAACGTGAGTAAACATGTATAATACTTTCCAGTCACGTGAGCACACACCATTGGTGGGCGGCGCGTCATCGGGGCGTCGCACTACGTTCACGTTAAACGCAGACCAAGTGACATTACTTGCACAGAGCTGAGAGTTGTCGATGGTCATATACTTGGTGCGTACAGTCTGTGAATTGATCCTGTTGAAAAGAGACACAGGACCTCCCGCGAGGATACAGGAAGAGATGTTACGCGTTTTTGCTGTCTTCTTCGAGGGTTTAGATATAATGGTTACAGGAGCTGAATCAAAGGTGGCCCAAACACGTCCTGGAGTACCATCAGCGCTGCTCTCGCCTGACAAAGCAGAAGGAGGAGGTTCTATTATGTCGAGGGACAGCTGGAAGCTCTTTGCCTTTGCTGTGCCTGTCACGTGCAAGAATTTGAAGCTTCCGGTCATGTTATTGTCCAAATTAGTCTTTTGGTCCAACGATCGTTCACCCTGCTCGGAGACAACTGACATGGCGAGTTGTTGAGAGCGCATTTGCCATACAGGACCTTGAATGTGCACAACAGGAGGAGGACAAAGGAAGCGTTTCTCGCTACCATAAGATTTCTGTGCAACAGCAGCGTGCAAGCACATGACGGTTGTCATTTGAAGGAGAGGATGCTGGTGCTGCTGCGCCACATGTTCGCGAACAATAGGCCGACGGATTTTTGGATGCGGATCTTCAGGCTCTGTCTCGTCGAGTTTGCGCTTACCACTCTTGCCGTTTGAAGACTTGTTTGATATACATATGAGTAGTACACTATAGTGATGTACTTTGTACTTACCTGGGCTGTTACGGATGGAAGATGAGGGGAAGAATGATGGGGCTGAGGTGAAGGTTGGACAGGGGGAATACCCCACTGATGTAATGAATCTGGAGCTGCTGAATCTTTTCGGTTCGCGGCAAGTAGAGATTGAAGAGACGCGTTCGGATCGGGATTGTTAGAGAGAATAGAAGGAGGAGCGGAAGTTACTGGAGGTTGTGAATTAGAGATGACATTGCTGCTTGATGATGATTGAATATGATTTGTATGCTGAAACTGTTCACCAATTTTATTGGCAAGTATATGAGAAGGAGAAGAGGTAGGGTTTACAAGTAAATCCAAAGTAGATTGTACGGGTGATGTTGGTGATGAAGTGCTTGAAGTTTTATTCAGCTGCTGTTGAAGAGCAGCTTCGGGCATTTGGATGTGTGAAGAAGAGTAAGGATGGAAAGTCCTCATAACAGTTTCCCGCCCGATGTTGGTAGCCAGCTGTGGGAATCGAGGAAGAGAGGTGGGAAAATAGAGAAGAACGATTTCAACTAAGACGTGAGAAAAAACAATTACAAACACGTGTAATCGTGAGAATTTTATATAAATAATAATAATAACATTAATAAATCTAAACTATACTAGACATCGCATGTAATGCCCATCGTATAGGCCACCAAGTAGATCCCTGTTTGAGGCATAAATCATCCAGCTGTGTAAAATCTTTGACATATCAACTTCATGCACAGCTCAAGCGCTCATGTTAGATCGGACTTACTAAGTACTGATAACACGCCCATTTTATCCTCTCCTTTGATTGTCTCCTCTATCTCATCTTCAGCCACGACACGAACCGAGCCCTCCGATTGTACTTCGTCCTCAGCAGGTTCAAATGTTTGCTCTTGTCGTAACCATTCCCAATTTTCCCCCTCGTATGAGACGGGAAAAAACCCCGTAAGACTGAATGGGTCCTCTCTATCACGCGGGGATACAAGCGGGGAGGCCGCCGTCGCCACGAAGGCGTGGTGGGATGATGCGGCTACCGATGTTTGATCTAAGCGGGGAATGAAGCCATCTACGGTAGACTTTGCCCTGGCTAGACCAGGTCGAACTTGAAATTCGAAAGCCTGAGGTGCGGTATTCGAACGACGGATGGCCATGGTGGGCCTCTTCTACGGGTGATGTCGAGCATGAAAGTCAAAACTTGGATATTACAAACTCCGCGACTGTGCATAAGAGGGGCAGGTACTGGATGAAACTACCTACAAAACATACGCAGATTTGAATCGTCGTGCGATATGTATTACGATGGTCCTACATATGCATAATGCAAGAAGCAAAAGGGTAATTGATGGTAAGAAAAACAATATTAATGTTGTCGAAGTTGCAAGATACGCGCGAATACGCTAATGAAACGACGGGCGTAAAAATATGTCCATGAAGCCGAACGTCCAACGTGTCTTAGAAAATGAGTGACGTGATCGTAACACCTGACATCTGACACCATCTCAGGCCCAGTCCCTCAACTTGGAGGGTCCCGAGGGACCCCAGCGGAACGACGTCTGTCCATAGGGCGGCTTTGTCCAGGGAATGGAACAGTGGCGTTAGCCTCAGTCTTCATCCCACGAGAGTCTCGCTTTGCGCCAGCAGCACGTTCGGGGCGAACTCCAAGCTCTACATCCTGTTGGTGCCGCTGCCAATCCTCCACTCTCAGTACCGATTGGCGTTTCGACGACGATGGGTTGTTGACACCGTTAATCGCAGCAAGCTTGTCAGCGCGTATTCCCTTGGGTCGACGTTCTAGGTTCTTGTCATCCTCGGGCCCTGTCTTGTCCTCTGACCTGCGCCGCAACTTCTCCTTCTCTTCTCGTGCAATCCCTGCGGCCTTCTCAGCCTGCCGTCTGTTGACCGCTTCCCGCTCCGCTGTCTTTGAGCGTTCCCAACGATCCTTGGCAGCCTGGAGCTCCGCATTTTGTTTCTCAGCCTCCGTGATGGGAGCTTGGAGACCCCGCATCTTCTCCCGATGCCGTTCCTCCATTTCCTCAAACGTCGCAACACGCTGAGGTTCTGCCTTCTTGGCAACTGGCGCTGCGATGTTTGTGCTTTGTCCGCGAGGAATGATCATAGGAATATTGCTGGAGGGCTCAGCAACCGCAGCCTTCAATGGTCGAGTGGGGGGGAGCACGATCGGTATGTTGCTTCGCTCGGGCTCAGGTAGCAATGACGTGCTCCTGGAGAGGATGGCAGGAGCATAACGTGCAGCAGCTGCAGGAGGCTGCGAGGGTGCTAACACAGCTGGAATCGTGCTGTTGAAATATGATTTGGGCTTCCTCTGGGCTGATACAAGCGTCGCAATGGGCGCATCCTCGTCCGACGTATCTTTTGCGCTTGTATCTGGGCCAATACTAGGGTCCAGTAAGATCTCCCGTTGTTTCCTTTGGGAGAGGGCTTCAGTGACAGCTGGTGGGATAGGTAGGCGTTGTTGTGCAGACAATGATCCTGTCGTGGACACACGGCTCGTTGGGATGGGTGCAGTTACCCCAGCCGGTGGTTGTAGGAGCTTACGGTCACGAACGTACGAGTCCCAGCCATCATCGCGCAGAGGAACACTTGTAGGACGGCCAATAGATGCACCAAGCGGAGGCGTATCTATAAGCTTGGAAAGTTCCATGGATTGTGCACGGCCGCGTGGATCTGGTTGTCTGGGTGGGCGAGTGTGTGGACGGGGAGCAATAGCATTGTCAAGGTCATAGCTGAGGGTGCGACGAGAGGTCAGAGAGATACGATGAGAGCGGGAGTCGTCCGAGTCAAGGCCAGGGGTCTCTGATCTGAGTGCATCGATTGAGCGTCTGATGGTTTGAATTTCGGCAAGAAGCTCCTCCTTGCGTGCGAGATCTTCCAACTCCGATGACATAGCTTTCTTCACATCGCTGTGTTTCGTGTCACTACTATCAGGATCGTTATCCGTGATGAACCCAGAGGGGACATCATGTTGGATTCCAAGGCCAAGATCAAGAGCAGGCAAGGCACCGGGCGCTTGAGACTCGCGTGGGACCCGCTTAATATCTTCATCAGGCGCGGGAGCAGCCATGAATTCAGACACCCCCGACGTGTAGCGACCACGCCCGCCAACCAACGTGAACACGGAAGCCCGCCCATCTTGAGAACTCCGAGTGGGAAAGTCCTTCATGAGAGGAGTCCCAGAGTAGCCACTGGCCGTCCGGCCATGCATTCCAAGTGATGGGTGATCGCGCTCCCATTCCTCCTGCTCCGTTGAGAGCTCACGGAATTTACCGGCAGCATTGATTTCGGCCTCTTCATCCCGCTTCTTTTCTTCCTCAGCGATTTCCTTCAGTTTGCGCTGCAGGATGCGGAGGATGCGGAGCTGAACGGCTCCACCCATAAGAGCGATCGCTCCGATGAGTCCAAGTTCAATTTCCATCGTTTGGGTTACCGGGAACGCAATGCCATTACTGACATACTTGGGGAACAGGGAGGTGAAACCTAGATTCCAGACGTAGAACTACCATCTTGTGTGAGCTATTATGAAATGACTATAGAAAGTGACACGAACCTCTTTCAAGCCAGCTGTGGTGTAGCAATCCACACCGAGTATAAACGCGGACGAGCCAACAAAGGCCGTCGCAACCAGAAGCATATGCCAATGTAACTTGGGTATTGTGCAGAGGACAAATGCAACTACGGTGCATGCTGAGTGACAAGTTAGCAGGGGGGAAGGTGGACTACGGAGGAAACAGTTACCTATATACAGAATCCATCTCATGCCAACAGGGGTAATAAGACCACCATTTTTAAAGCATTGTATCCATAATCCGAAAGCGAAACCACCCCATGCGCCAATAAAGTATTTAGTGGCCTTCCAAAAGAAGATTGTGAACGCGCCCCCCATGATACCAGCAACGGCGGAGGCTAATACGAACATGCCCTGGAGTGTGTTGCTCGGTGGGTTGATCGCGGGAAGAATGCCGAACTTGACGATAAGGACGAAACAGACCAATGAAAGGGTATAGAAACCAATGAGGAAGAAGGATGTCCTACATAGTGAGTGAGAAAATGGTAGATCCACAAATGAGAGAAATTACCATCTATTCTTGTGGCCCCAAAACGCACTTGGTAGTCCAGTTATGATGAGGATCGCTCCCAATACACCGAAAGCCGGAGTGATCCTAGTAGCTAGGACGATGGGAGTTGGGGTGGGTGAGGCTGAAGCCGAGGATGTTGGTGTGGATGAATTTGCATGAATAGTGGATGTCGCATTGTACACTGTGGGTAATACGGTGGTGATGGTGGTTGCAATGTTCCCTGAGTGACTGACGGATGTCAACGTGTATGAACTAGTCGTCAAGAACGTTGTAACATTGGCAGAGACAGTAGGTGAAGGTGTACCGCTGCTCGCAGAGGTCTGGTTTGTAGACTGAGCCGAAACCTGAAAAAAGAAGGATGAGCAAAGTAGAAGACATAACATAAGGCATAAGCCAGGTGGTGCTCTCGCCATGGTCGAGCACGAAGAACAATGAGAGTGGTTTAACCGAACTACAACCTGGGGGGGTATACGTTAACCTCTACGTGGAGGGAGAGAACTAGGCCAGGCTAGTGGCCCTCGGCGCTAGCAAGTCAGCCACCAGGCTATTCATGGATTCATTCACACTAAGGTTACATCATGCCACTCAGTGGTCCTATTTGGACCTATGATTGGTTTGATCCGCGTGCAAGACAGCAACCAACCAACAATACCGCCGTTAATAATCCCGTCACAACTTTCGTTCAATCACCCACACACAAGCGCCACATCAAAACTCATGTTCACCATTACTCCCCGAATACCACGGTTGGGTTTCCCTAGGGATATATAATCTACCGACGGGCACGGTCACGATGGGACAAATGCAAAATATTTCTGCCTGCTGCTTCTGTCAGTCAAAATGCTCCAGCTTGGTTGTACTAATACCAAGCTTCTTCAGCATAATATCCATCTTCTTCGAATCATCCCTGACACAGACTTTACCATTCTTCCCCTCACTCTCCCGGCGTCCTTCCACAATAGTGATTACTTTCCCTCGGCGGCCAAATCGGCCAACTCTTCCTGCGACATGCTGGTAAACGTCTCCCGCGCGTTCTTCCGGAAGTCCCAGGAGAAAAACGTGGGTTAGCGCAGGAAAATCGATCCCTCGGGTCGTTGCAAGCGTCGATACAAGTAATGTAGGATTCTCATCGGGAATATCCCTGTCCTTAGACAGAAGGTGTGCTCGACCGGCTTCATTGTCCACGAGATCAAGACTGTGGGCATTCACTCCCAGTTGATTCAGCTCAAAAATAACTCGTCGAACGGATGTAGTTGCAGGTAAGACGAGAAGCGCGATGTTTGGTACGTCGAGAGCGAATGCGGATGCGACGGCTTCAAGCATCCCTGGAGTAAAAACAGGAGGAGCTTGTAGCATATCTAATCGCAAATCAAATTGTCGATAACCGAATAAAAATATAAAAATAAAATATCCTCACCTATGTCAGTTACATCATCAAGCAGTGCTTCATCATCTTCATCAAAAATCAACTCTTCTTCTTCGTCCTGTTCCTCAGCAGAACTCACATACTCGGAAGAGTCCAAGGGCGTGGGGGCTCGAGCTTTGCGAGCACCAGCTATATTTTTCACACAGCCATCCTGCGACATGACAAGAACATGATGTGTGATCGTGCGATTAAGACCGTGAGCCGGACGTGAGGCAGACGAAGCTTTGATAAGCTTGAGCACTTTCCCCCGTCTAAACCACCCGTAAGTGCCGAAGAAAGCCGTCCTCAACCTATTTCGCATTGTTGCACTGAGCATGATTAGTTGCGGCCGATCAATTGGGGCCAACTTCATCTCTAGAAGACGCTCCCGCAAAATGTGTGAGGTATTCGTTTTAGTGCTTGTATAAAGGACATCCAGCACAGTCTTCAGAACTTCAGGATGCTTCTGACTTAACCGCGCTGCTTTTTCTGTGGTATACTTGCTTTTCTGGGGCGCCATTTGCAGAAGCCAGTCCACCTCATCGACGACGACAGTCGATAACGTGGATAACTGGAGCACTTCCGGCTCCTTGCGAAGCACGTCCATAAGCGCAGTTGGTGTGGCAATGAGTATATGCGGAGGATGATCCCGGAGCACGGATATTCCAGGTGACGATGGGTTCACAATCGCCTCCAGGATCCGAGGAGATGAGCTTGTGAGGTTTTTGGGTGGTGAGCCGCGGACTAGCACCTGTGCAATCGAAGCGAGCGAATATGGACCAGGTTCACCCGCAGACGTCAGCATGTGGTGTAGCCAGTGCAAAAATTGGTATGCAAGGTCACGGTGGGGAACGATCAGGAGAGTTGTAATTCCTTTTGTTGCTTGAGCCTTTCCTTTTTTCATTTCGTATCTAGATATCCTTGGTTTGCTCAGGAGTCCAAGTAGCAATCCAAATGACCTCGAAGGACGTTAGTTTGAGTCAACATTCAGCGACAAGTACGCACTTTCCAGTACCCGTGAAGTCCTGCAAGAGAATATCTTGCTTACCCACCACAGCAGGTATCATCTTGCGCTGCATTGTCGTGGGTTGCTGAACATCGGGGAATGCAACACGGAGGGCCGCTGCAATCGGTGTCCCCACTCCAAGGGACTCGAAGGTCACACCCAGTGGAGCTTGTCCCGTGCTGTTCTTGTGCAGTGGCTCCTTGGTATGTGTCTCCAAGCTACGGCTCATATAGCGAAGTAGTCCATGTTTCCTGCAGACTGACTGACGCGCCCAGCTGCGATATAATAGCGCGACTGCTGGAGGTGAAGGAAAACTCATGCGGACACGTGACATTACCAGAGTGATATATATAACGCATCATATTGTGGTGGGAAGTACAGTAATGACCAGTAAGATACATGAATGGTGTCAACGAAGTGAAGTCGTAATTGTGAGCCAGTACGTAGTGTATCATGAGGATTGAAAGGCACAACTGCTGGTGGTAAATGAAAGAACATGCCAGAGAAGTAACATTGCCGCATGCGACACTAGCATACTGTCTCGCAATCAAACAGCACTTCAATTATCAACCGCAGCAGTAACAGGAGACGTGGGTGAAGAAGAGGAGGGCGAGAGCTGCTCCCTCGTGTCATGGAAATCTTCTTCGTGCGCCTTCACGTGGTCACCTTCAATCCTCGCGAGTTCCTATTCATCGCCCTCACCAATGGGCTGGTATGTGCTCCTGTCGTTACGATAGAGTAGCCGGCTAACCCATCCACGTTCTGTGACTCGACGGGAGCCAGAACGTACCGAAGGGCTGCGGGCATTGGACATCAGAGATGCCCGCTCGGATTCATAATCCAGCCTCTCCTCTGCAAAGATACATTCAATACCGTTCGACTGGAAGAATTGGAAAATTGTACCTTCACCGAACACAGCGTCCATTTCTTCGAGAGGAACACCTTTAGTCTCGGGATATACTACGTTCAATCAGTGAGCATCGAAAACGGCATGCAAGAGCATCTACCTACAGAAATAAACGAGAATGAAACTGCATGCGCAATAGAACCCATGCATAGGGTATAATCTCCATGTAATGGCTTCTTGGAGGTATGGAGTTGTCTCTCCGACGATGAAATTGAATGCCCTGGTCGTGTCAGCTGGTTGACATGTGAGAGATGCTTCGAGCTCACCAATTGGTTGCAGTTGATATCGATACACCTTTGGAGCGGAATGTGAGGGGCATGATCTGAAGCAAATTCAGCATCTTATTAGCCTATCGCTGAAAGAATATCACCTCGGGGGGATAGAGCCATGGAATGGGACCCCAACTAAGATAATCATATCATATCGAAGGCTCAAAAAATGTGCCGAGAAAGCTTACCTATAGCCAAATGCAGCATTGTAGACGATAACACAAATAACCACAGCATTGGGTGTAGCTGGTATGTCAACGTACATCCACCAGCCAGTCAAGCCCAGGGCAATGCCCATCTACGTATCGGTGAGCACCCTGAAGGCCGTTCATCAGAAAAGGAACCAACAATAACGGCACCAGAAAGTAGAATAACGCGACGACCCCAACGGTCTACGAGATACCAGCTATAGGAGTGTTTAGCTTTCCTAACGGGACCGTTGGTAGGATGCCACTCACGGGGGTAAGGTGCTCAAGGTGTAAATGATCGCATTGATACCCGTCATTAACACAGCATCACGGCCAAGCCACCCGGCCTCTGCGTTTCAATGAGATTTTTGCCAGACAAAAATATTCGTCCACCCGTACCTTCAAAAACAGATGCTAAACAACACGGACTTTGGTCAGTCAAAGATCACTTTAGTGCGAGATAAAATGCGTACGAGCGTAGTATCCAATCACTGGATGTCGTTTCGACTCATTAGTTTCATGAAAGCCGCACAAAGGCAGACACATTACCGTTGATTCCATTCTGGGAAAAATATGTTCATGACGGCATGATATGGGTAAAACGGCAGAAGCTTACCAGTTGAGCAAATGCTTGGGAAGACATGGCAAGCAACACGCGTCGTTTATACTTCTTCCACATCACAGCGTACGAGCGTCCTTCCCCAAGTTCACGCTGTGAGCGTTGAATTGTAAAAATGATGATAGCTGCATCAACAAATAGCGTACCTCATAAATGACTTTGTCCTTGATTTCTTGGAATTCCGCTTGAGCGATGATGTTATCAGGATCTCCTCCATGCAGATCCACGATAATACTCATCCCGGCAACATCTCGGTCAGTATCAATCAACCATCTGGATAGTCTCAGTGCATACTACCGTAACAATGAGAGATGGCATACCGAGGGCTCTCAGGAATAACCAGGCTTCCCGCAGCGAGGATGCTTCCAATGACGCATTGCAGGAAAAGGGGAATACGCCAAGAAAGGTCGGATTCGATGAATGAAGAAAAATAATCCACCCACTTTCGGGAATGTTAGCTTGCCTTGATAAATGTAACAGACAAAGACGACTCACAACAGAGGTTGCATAGCCGAAAACATTGCAGGTGAATTCCATGCACGCAAGCGCGCCTCTCTGCAAACCAACTTAGTAGCATAAATGTGTAAAGTTTAAGACCTACATGATCAGGTGGAGAAATTTCGCTTTGATATATAGGAACGATCGTCCTGAAAAGTGCGCTGAGCACTTGCACAAAAATTAAACCTTGAGGACCTACGACAAGAGCCCAACTCCACAGCCGCTTACCACTCGACCAACGATCATGATGTAGTAACCTGTGGTAAATGTCTGAATAGCACCACCAATGGTGAAAACGATAGCTCCAGTGAAGAGGGTCCCCTTCCGGCCAATTATGTCGCCGACACGACCAGCAGCAATCGACGTGGCTGTGGATGTCATTATACAGCGCAAAACCGGTCATTAAAACATACCAAGTGCCCCAAGCTCGAGAACTGCGACCATGGTACCAACTTCAATGGGACCGGGATTGTTGAAAAACTGTTTGAAATAGGGACCGGTGATGATACCTGACATGACGCTGCCACATGGACTCAGTAGCTAGTAATCCAGTGAGAGATGTGTCTAACGAACCCCTGGTCATATCCGAACTAGAAAGCAGCACCAATGATTAGTTTTTTATGCCTCGTTCCTCGTGACGTAGCGTACCAGGAAAACACCCAAACTAGCGAATACAGAAATAGCGTAAAGGAGAGGTTGCCCGACTAATTTGCGTCGAGAGGGCAGAGGAGCAACATCCACCATAATGCATGGACTGGTGATGGTAGGAAACAGTTGATAACAAGAAGTAGGGAGGGAAAGCAGAGAAAGCGTCGATGCCTAAAAGCGGTGTGTCGTACGTACAACGCCACTCTGAATCAAGTGACTCCACTGGTAACACCATCAACTTAGACTACTTCATTTGGAGAACATTGCGTCAAGACACCGCAAAGGCAGACTACTAAAGCATGCCACGCTCGGACCATTCTTCAGACTCCTCATCAAACGTATCATATGATTCTGATGAAGACTACCGTTTGGCCCAGAAAGAGTGGAACGAGAGTTTAGAAGAGCTTCAGCAACTTGTACTCGTTTTACTACTGCCATGGGTGGGCAAGTACTTTGGCAGGAGGTGTAGTTATTGGCGTATGTGCAAACGTATCAAGCCTGTCTACACTTACGAATAATGTGTCTTGCAGTGTATGATCGTTATACTCGTGTCGGTCTCGGCAAGTCATTTTTCATGGGCGAGAAGCCTTTGGCATGGACATTCTTCTCGCGATGAATGATGCGTATTATATTGTAGGTATGTCTATGTCAGGCATAAAACTTTGGTCCTAACTTCATCCTCCAAGCTGTCCGACGTTGGATTCTACCAACCAGGCTCTCCAATGCCCCAACCGGTTTGATATACCTCAGGAGGTCATCTACCATCTCATCTGCAACTGCCCACTCCTCCCTCGAAATCAGCCCATGTAGTAGAATATACCATGTATCATAATTCGTCGGGACTCTCCGGTTTGCCATTTCCCTGTAGTAGCCCAATGCCCCTTGCAATCCTTCTGGTTCTGGGTTCTCCAAACATGCTTTGATCAGTATGTGGTAGGTCACCCGATTAAACCGGATGTTTCGCTCCTTCATCCTTTTAAGGATGTATCTCCTGCTTTCCTCGGCCAGGGCGGTGTTGGGCCATACCTGGCGGTGCAAGGATGCAAGCACGCCTGTGTATGTCACGTCATTGGGTTGGGCATCCGGATTCGTTTCCATCCTCTGAAGTAGCTCCATTGCTGTTCTAAGACCTTCCTCCCATGGCTCGCGAAGCTGTTGGTCTATGATCGCGCTGAAGACGGCGACGTTGGGCACCACATTTTGCTTCTTCATCAGATTCAAAATAATGTCGATAGCGTCAGTACGCCCAACCCTGAGAAGAGCTGAAAGTACAGAGGAGAACGTGAACGCATCGCCGGTCAGCCCATCTTCTCGGAGACGCTCGAGTAACACCGACACCGCACGGAATTCGCCTCTGCGGCCATGGTGACGCAGGAAAGTATTGTAGGAAACGATGTCTGGCTTTGGGCCATTCTGCCGCAAATTCTGCAGCAACGCATCGGCGTCACCCGGTCGTCTATTATTGAGAAGACCGTGCAGTACTGTATTGTATACAGGCAATGCGTCCGCAGTGTTCGGCAACGAACCGTTAGCAAGCTCCCGCTTAAATATTGCAAATTTCTCAGTAGCGTCGTCTGGTCTCCAAGCGTTAAATAAGGTCGAGATGACAGCGCGATATGTCAAAATTCCCGGTCGAATCCCTTGGGAAACCATGTTATCCCAACTGGTGGAAGCGGCATCAGCTTCTCCCATGCTATCAAACCCATCCAAGAGCGCTGTCCAGGTGATAACACCAGGCTGGATGCCACATTTAAGCATGTCATTCCAGAGATTCTCCGCCAGGTCCCGACGGTGGCACCGCAAAAACCCTGTCAAGAATGCTGCCCAGACGATCTCTTGGACTACCACAGGTCTTTGGTTGGACTTCTGGGAATCACGGGTAGCGAGATATGGCTCTGGACCATTCAAACCGTCGATGATTGCCCGGTATAAGTTCTGGATCTGTGAAAGATCCTGATCCCTTGAGAGATTTGTGATATGAGTGCTGAGTGAGTGTTGGCGAGAGATGAGTCTTGCGATGTCAGCCCGGCGAACATAACTTTGAACTTTTGTCCGGAACGAGATGTCATCAAACGATGCCGTGAACTCTTTCTGAGCAGACTGATTTATGCGTACAGGATTGTCGAGCATTATCTTCAGTGCGCCCTCGAATGAATCTTCGAGTGCATGTGCGGCTATTGCTGCGAGGATGAGTGAGAAATTGGATTGGTGGGATAGCTGGTCGCCTAGAAAATTGAGAGCTAGCCCATTCTTATCCTCAACATCTTCCTGCGTTGGGGATGGTAGGGGCTCAGACACGGTCTGGTTGCTGGAGTGAACCAGAAAACGTCTGTACAGGTGAAGGGCTGCCTGCGAGTCGCCTCTCTTTATATGTGCAATCATACAAGTCGTGAGGGCATTGACTGCACCCTCAAAGGCGGCAGCAATGGCTATGCCCTCGATGACCTTCCTCTCGTCTGCGTGCCAAGGCTCAGAGTTGCCCGTGAAGCACAGCTGAGCAGCGCGCTCGGAAAACCCACGCAACTCTGGACCGAGGAGTCGCAGTAACTTTCTATCTTCCAACTGCGACCATAGCTCTCCTACTCGCGCGATGTCACCAGCCTTCAGAGCGAGACGAAGCTCGACAACCTTTTCGTCAAAGAAGTTAATATCTGGGTCGGAGACAGCAGCAGCGCCTGACTGGCTCAGTAAGCTGATACGTTGTTTGATGTTTTGACAAAGAATTGCCGGGCTTTGTGTGCATACAGAGACTGGAAATTCTGCGAGCCTCTCCGTGTCGTGTCTTTTGGATAGTTTTGTCACCGAAGGTCGCACTTTGGAGCTACCGAGACGGTATCCGAACGCAGTCGGCGCAAGGAAATCAAGCACGACAGTAGTTCGCCTTGCTTTTGTGGTGGCATGACGTAGCATCTGCAAGCTGACGATGAAAGAAGATGGAGACTCGGACCTCCAATTTGTGACTTATCTTATTTACGTTTATTAGATTCGGAAGCTTGACCAGGTCCGCTCACTTTCAAGGTTATTGTACACTCCATCACAAACCAACTGCAACATGGGCCACGGAAATTCCAACAAACTCTATATCACACATGCAGAACATGCCGGCGAATTCGGACAACATTCTGCTTCATCTGGGTACAAAGCGTAAGTCTGTTCTACGCCTAAATTATGGAGTTCTCATGTTTTGCACAGAAAGCTTCAAGGATCGGACCCTCGAGTGCAGACGCCATTCGACTGTTGCGCGCTTTCTTTCCAGCCATTTAGTCATCCAGTATGCGCCCGCAATGCGGATGGAACAGGCTTCGTGTTTGATCTCGTAAACATTATTCCTTGGCTAAAGCAAGTCGTCCTCTCTTCCTGCAAGGTGACGTTTGTCTTATGCTTCCATTCAAAGGCAGCATAACAATACAAATCCCATTACAAAAGAGCCCCTCGCACCCGCTGACCTGATATCACTCCAATATTCGCGCAAAACATCTGGCGAAATTCATGATCCAATCTCATTCAAGCCATTCAGCGAGCACTCGCATATAGTAGCAATTGCAACCACAGGAAATGTTTTCCTTGCAGAAAGTATCAAAGGCGGCAAGGATCTTCTTGAAGATGCAAAATTCAAGAAGTTAGTTTTCCAATCTTTCTCTATCATTCTGGACTCAGCATTACTCTTGCAGGGAGGACGTCATCACATTGCAAAACCCTCATGGTCTCCCACCTTTGTCTACAACCAATACTACTGCTACTGCCATTGTAAAGAAGGATGAGAAACCCAAACCAGCTACTGTTAAAGTGATCTCTGAAGTGAAGGGTAAAGCCGCTGTCCCTTGTGAGCTCCACCATTTTTTTCGCGGCAGGATGCAGCCTGAGTACTATACCAGGGAACATTTCTCCTTATTCTAGCGGTGCACCCGGTGCATCATTGACTTCAACGTCTGTGGATCCTCAGACACGAAGTTCACAACTACTGTGGGACGAGGTGCGCAAAAAGAACCGGCTGTGACGAGCATTCTTGTTGATGGTAGCTTAGGAAGAACTGATGTTCGAAGAAATGTCGAACCCTCCCAAGGGCAAGGGGAAAGAGAAAGACGTTGGGAAACGAAGAGCATATGTCCGGGTTGTGACCAGTTTGGGCGCTTCGTTGAACCTGGAGTTGTATTGCGACAAGGTCGGTGCTACTTGCTCTTGTTGACGTCGCTAACATTCCCTCACAGGCACCGAAAACTTGTTACAACTTTCTCATGCTTGCAAGAGCAGGGAAGTATGATAACTGCCTCTTTCACAGACTTGTTCCTGGCTTCATGGTACTTCTTCATTCGTCGTCTCGCGAGATTAGATACTCATGTCGCCGTAGGTGCAAACAGGTGACCCTACTGGTACAGGCTCTGGTGGAGAGTCACACTGGGGTACTTCTTTCCGAGACGAGCATGACATGAGAGGTGCCGCTAAACACGATAGTCGTGGTATCGTCGCCATGGCCAACAAGGGCGCTGGCACGAATACGTGCGTCTGCCGGTTTACCTTGTTTTCCGTTTCACTGACGAGTGCCACTACAGGTCGCAATTTTATGTCACATTCAAAGCTACACCAAATCTTGACAACAAGCACACTGTCTTCGGCAAGCTAGTTGGAGGAGACGACGTCCTCGATGCTCTGGAAAAACTCCCTCGTAAAGATGGAACAGAGCGCCCAGCGAAGCCGGTGCAGATAACGGAAGTCATTATGTACGTGCATTGCTTTTTTGCTCAGACCTATATTCATATAGTTTCCCTTCTAGACACCAGGATCCCTTTGAAGCATACAAAACACGGCTTGCAAGAAAACTTGCTCGGCGTGCAGAAGCACAAGATGATGCCAAGAAACAACCTGACAAGATTCAAGGGGATGATATTAATTGGTTTGGGGTCAAAGTTGGTACTGGGGACTCGGCCTTTGGTGGGGGTGCTGGAGGTGTGGGGGTGGGAGTGGGCAAGTATCTCGGCGTCAAGAGGCCGTTAGATCAGGTAACGCCTGGCGTACAAGCCAATGACGTCGGTGACGATGCCAAAAAAAAGCGAAAAATAGGGTTCGGAAACTTTGACAGTTGGTAGTAGACCGATACTGTTGCTCTAGTCTGACGTCTAATATTTGTATCATTAACTGTCATCCTACTGTAGTGTCGTAGTATCTGTAAATGTCTGGAGAAGGCCTAGGCCACGAATGAGGATATGAGTAATGCCAAAATAAAAATATCTGTGATACTATGCGTGCTAAATAGCAGGTGCTAACCAGGTAAGGGAACTCGCTCCCTCTTAGTCTCTTGGAGTACTTGCTGGGCTTCTAAATGGAAATGAGGATAAAGGCCGTCCGACAATCGTGAACTACTCTGACCTTCTGAAACAAGCGGCAACGACCTAGGTGGAGATGGCAAATCCAGGTGCACTTTAGGTTCAGCTTGTCCAAGCTAGATATCATGTGAAAGGGGGAAAATAATATCCGACAGTTCGCACTGACCGCTTCCCCTTGTAATGCCAGGAGCTCCGCCTGGACGGAGTCCTCCTCATCATGTGTTAATCGATTCGCCAGCAAATCACCGATTTCCTGTACACCATCCTCAAAACAGCACAAGAAGCACGGAATATGACTTACTCGCTGATACTCTCTCGCTTCTTGCGTCTCATCCATGAGCTTCTCAACGCTCTCAATACTCATCTCGCGATGGATTTCTTTAAGAACTTCATTTCCTTGCTTGAGACCGTGAAGGACAGAAACCTCGACCAAAGAAAACTCGATAGTCGACACCTACAATGAACATTGGGTTTCAGCGTACATTTGAGCAACATGAATGAGACAGACCAATTGTTCCAGGTTCTCTAATTGACTGTCGGTCTTCAGCAGCAAGCTCTGCTGGTACTTGCGCCTTCGGAGGGCTATGACGGCACGGTCCTTCTGACCGGTAGCGAGATGGGCTTTCGCGATTTCATGCTCGCGGTCGAGCACGACTTGTATCTGTATTAAAGGGTTATAGACGCAAAACCCCTACGAGTGTGGTCTGACCTTCTTCTGGTACTGCTTTAGCTTATCGCGCTGAAGTTTGAGACTGCGCAGTAGATGCTCTTGTTGGGCGTTACCGTTTGGTTGAGAAATCATGAAAGCCCACGCACTCGAGAATCGCCCGATCATGAGCAGTGATCTTGGGTGCCGACTGGCTCAACCCCATGGTAATGTCTGTGTTGACGAGGTTGTGGAGACCACCGAGTCAGTCCGGTCCGTGTGTAGTAGCAACACTGCCACCACTGAAGTGGCTAAATCCGGGTCATTGCTATTGGAGACTCTACCCCACAAACAAGACCATCAAATAGCGATATGTCATTAAAGACGTTATTTACAGCGTTGAGTAAAAGTGTTGCAATACAGGTACGGAATTTAGACTCTGTGTAGTATGAAGCAGCGCACAGCATGGGGTCGCATAAAAATACAAAACAATCATTGCTTAATATCTGATATCTCAGGGCGAGCAAAGCGCAACTCGGACGAGGAGCGCGGGGGTTCTGTGAGTTCAAAACTCGTAGAAGGGAGCACTCCGTCTTCAGGTTTCGTATCATAGGGATAGTGCTTGTGGTTTTGGAATCGGTTAGTCCTACCAAATTGATTTGAGCCCGTGGATGTTAGAACGACCCGGGAGGGCGACCGACGTCTACGCGGAAGGAGCTTTGGGCGCGTCAGCGTATATAGGATTGTGTTGAAGAATCCAGACAAGAGAAGAAGGGTGTCTGCCCAAGCCGTCACTCCCCATGGCACTTTGCCTGTGTGAAACTCCGTGAAGCGGGCAGCAGTGATAGGCAACACCTGTCAAAAATATCAGAGGGTGAATAGCATATGAGCAATCCCACCTACTGTGATAATGTAGACTGCAGGGTAGCTGGAAAAGTAAAGATTAGAAACGTTTTACTGACTGTGGGTCATCGCCAAACTCACAAGAGCATTCGTAGCGCGATGGCTCCTTCGTCGCCCCGTTGTCGGGGATCAGAACCATCGGACGGTGTTATACTGCGGATCTCGGAGGACGCCCACCGAATCTTGTATCCATCAATGCTAACGATCCGTTTGACCACAAGAGCAAGGAAGATGTAGACAACGATAGTGATGAATGCTGCAAACCACATCCACATGTATTGGAGACCTATTCGTTGGAAGTTGTTACGTTCTATCCAGCACCCTGTGAAATACAAAATTATTTAGCGGCGTGGATGAGCACTCTCACTGAATTGCGGACGTACAATGCCCGGTTGGTCCATAGAAATCATCAATGATTATGTTCGGTATTCCGACCATCAGGCCAACAATTATCCATATAATAGCTGAGCCAAGTAGTGCTCCTTTTGGAGGGGTACTCCACCTCAATATCAGTACCTGCATCGTGTGCAAGGCGATAGTCTGCAGAAATGAGAAGGGATTCCAAGAACCATATCGGGAAGTAGTTACAATTGTGCTGTTTTTGGAAAATTGGTTAGCATCTAGATGTAAAACTTGAACGATACATCGGACTCGCCTGAAAGCTGCCCCCGTATTGCCTACATGCTTGAAGGCACCTGCGATAATTGTGGTGAATTGGCGCTCTCAGGTTCTACCTCAAGAATGATGATACCTTGCACAGTGCATATGGTGCCGGGATATATTTCCTGGAGATTGAAATCAAATTTATTGAGCGGTCATGATACAAAGTGTAAACCCACAGCAGCATCAATCCATGCGATATCGAACATTCCCCCTGAAAGATTGTCAGAAGACTGTGGTAGCGGTACTGACAACGATGGCTCACCTATTGCTTGAATGAGGTCAAAGACCATTAGATTTAAGAAATAATAATGAACGTGAGTGTCGGTGGACCATCTGCGTGTAGCACCCATTCGAATTGTGACAGCGCTATACTAATAACAGGCCTGGGGTAAGTCTGCGAGCTTGAAAATTGAACAAGATACGTACAGTGATGTATGCCAGGAGAGTTGTGATAGCCAGTACGGATAGTGATGCGGCCTCTACGATGAAGACTAGGCCCAGTCTATCATCGAAGTCGAAAGCAGTCGCTGTTTCTAGCGGATTGGCCATAGTATCTGGTTGTTCAAGAAGAAAAATGATGAGTGAACAAATTGTTGCGCCCACACCCATTTTGCAACTTATAATAAAATAAGCACCGCCGCGTCCGCATTTCGGATTTCAGGACGGCTTCAGGCCTCAGGGGCTGAACATTTTGCAATTAAATTCCCAGATCTGGAATCAAATGAGACAAACAAGCTGTCGTTGAGCTGTCCTGACTGCTGCCGATCGATCATGACAAAGTTTCCTCTTGAATTATTAGGTAATCCGCCGGCCCCGAGTTACTTCAAGGGAAAATTTATGGTGAGAATATCAAGGGTCCGTCGTATATCCCAACCTAAGAAAGTTTTTAGAAAAACTAGGGTCGAGCATAACGCGTGGAACATTGAAACTTTGCTTGATATTCTACCCGGTCATGATGGAAACGGAAATAAGCACGTGAGATGTCACAAACACATGGCTATCGCGTGAGGGGTATATACGACGTCATCTAGGGTATCTTCCGTCAATGATGTTGTCGGGTTGGGGCATGGTATATTTGGCAAAGCAATCATGCACATAGTCGATCTCTCCAATTCGCTCATGCATTCCGCTGATGAAGCTGGGCAGCGCGCAGAGTCCATTCCAGTCATCCGTGCAACCACGGATGCCCGTTAGTGGCACTACACCATCGTTCAGAAGAAACCGGATATGAGTCGGTTCCTCTGACGCTGGGCAACTGAGTACCTGCGCTACAAGCTGGCTGGCAAAAGATGCAATCTGGCTAGCAATGTATGACTGATGTGACTGGTTAGAAATAGAGGCAAGCGGTGGTCTAGGAGACTGCGTACACGGTGAGGGGGTATATGGTCGGTTGGAAGAGGACCAGTTACAGCTAGACTGGTAAAGTTCAGAGCAGTGACGACTGAGCCCTTCCGTTAGCAGTCTTGCATTAGAAAGGAAGAAAATAGCAACCTACTATTGGAAATGACAGTGTCATGGGTAGCGTCCACGTATATAGGTTGATTGAGAGGGAATGTGATATTGCTCGAGTCGAGAGTGCTGTTGGTGCTGCTGTTCCAGACATTGATGGGAGTGTGAGTGAGGCGCGACACTAGTTCTTGAACATAGCCAAGGCCCTGCGCTGCTGCTGTTGGATTACCTGGTCCATGGCCATACCAGAAACCTTTGTTCACAATGAACTCATTAGTCACTCAGGCTGCAAGTTTACCACTCAATGTACTCACTAAGATCTGCAAATAAAGATCACCGCCGAGCTCAACAAGGATCATTTGAGAACACATACCGACGTAATACTCGTATCCTTCCCATTCTTCCTCAGTGAAAAGGTCGCAAAACTTGGAATATCCCAGGGCCACAGTCTGCAGGATGTCAGAAACTCATGAAGACCGTGTAAATGGTCTAATCACCTCATAGGCGCACAGTGTCTGCATATCAGCCAATCGTGAGATGGTCAAATTAAATCCTTGGATCATTGGTTGCAAACGCATTTGAGCGTCTTTGAGATAGATATTCGCCCATTTGTTAGCCTGAGTGCCACCGAATTTGCTGATATCCGCCGTATTGGAGTTTGGGCATACATGATTAGGAGAGAGGGTGTTATTGAAGTTGACCCCCTCGATGATGATCTCCTGGTGATAGTCGGTCTCGTAAGTTCTGATGTCAAAAAAGCCTGCAGCAAAGTTCAGGCTACCAATAGCGTGATCAGGCATGGAGAACGCAAAAATATGAATGAATTGCTCACGCAGAATCCACCATGCGATCTATACGACACAGGCAAACAATCAGAGCGAATTGTGGAACAAACTTTCGATGCAGACAAACCTTCAGAAGTAGTACGGAATACTGGGAGGTCCGTGAAGGCATTAAGCAAATTGCCGTATCTGTAGCGAAAGGCAACCCCGTTGCTAAAGCTGATGGAGGGGAGCCTCAGTGGAAATATCGTAAAGGAGAGCGAACGTACAGCGAGTCGCGGCCGAAAGGCGTCAATATCTCTGCGCCCAACTTATATGTCCAGGTTGCCAAGAATTTCAGATCACCAGTGACATTGAAGCCTTCTTTCGATGCAGCAGTATGAATTTTAGAGGCAAAGTGAGAAACTCCGGAGTCAGAGGTTGGATAGCGAGCGCCATGGCGCATTAAGAGATGGACTGCGTTGAGGCCACACCCTTCTGGGATGATGGGGGATGCATCAGGAAGGCCAAAGGACTCCACAGAGTACATGGGGGCCAAGTTTCCCCAGTGACGCATCACATCGAAAGTGGTGTCTGCGCTGTCTGCTGAATATGAATTGGGCCTTGACAAGGGATATTCGTTTTCGACCTTAGAGAACGGGATGGCAGTGACAATGGCCGCAGGTTCGGCACCAGCTGATTTAATAATTAGACCACAGGAAATACAACACTAGCATGGTCACTAACTAGGCGTTGGACCCGCATAACCGACTTGAGATCCATCCGGGAAGTAAGCGTTAACAGCAGGGGCGTTGGTGGCACCGGGGGGAGGATAAGAATCAACAAGGGTTGATCCTGCATAGCTGGACGCTGACTCTGCAGTGCAGAATGGCAGAGCAAGCAGCAAAACGACGGCACTGAGCATGGCTTGATAAGTTTACACCAACTGTCGCTTTTCTGAGAAAGATAGTGAGAAAACCATTTACAACATCTGGTAACCAGGCCAGGCGGATAATTTTGAATCTAGACACAGCGGACGACTCGGAGGTCGAACGTTCTGAATGTTGAACTATAGGTGTTGTGAGACTAGAAGTAGAAGCTCTGCCGGCAGAACTGGTAGAACCATCGTGTTTTGTGAGCGCGTGGCAGATACGGCAGATTCAAAAACACTTGTACTTGTTTCATGGCACGAGAAGTAACTGCATGGATGTCAGACCAACTCGATATAACAACATAAAGTCAATGAAACGAAAACGTCCCGAATCAAGTATTCGTGGTCCAACTCACGTGCTGGCGCGTCGCTCACGTGCATATCACAAGTGCGTCGACGCGTCAACCTTCCTCGAATTTCAAAGCGCTGCGATCGACATCCTTTGCCACCCACGTAAGACTCGTCTTGAAGAGCACAAGTACCCGAGAAAGGAAGTAATTTTATAGTTTTTCTATCGATTCCAGCTTTCGATGGGTTGTATTCTATTTGAGTCCGAGGTACGAGGATGAAAATAGAATTAGGTCTATGTGGCGACACGCTTCTTTTGTTTTCTCACCTTTCTTGCTTCTTACTAACTCGTTAGTATTCGCAATTCCTCTACTCCGAGACTGCGCTCTCCGTTCGTCGCATTCTTTTCGTATATCTGCTTTTTCGAACTAGTGCTATACAAAACATGCCGAGGATTAGAAACGACCCGAATCTCAACGTTTGTCCGGACTACGCATCGGATGTCTTTGCCAACATCCGCGCTCAGCTAGTCAATGAAAACACCACTGAGGCTCAAGCAATGCAATTGCTTCGGAACATCTGGGAGGCAAATAATAACGCTATCAAGGTACTTTGGCAGCAACAAGTAGATGAGGATAGGGAACGCCAAGAGCAACGCCAAAGGCTAGACGAAGATGAACAGGAGAGACTCGACCAAGCAAGGGTCGAAGAGGAAGAAGCAGCGCGCAAGGAGGAGAGAAAAAAGAATAAGCATAAATTCATTCCGATACTTCAGACTGGGATTCCGGACGAACCGGCAATCACACCATGCTCTTACGCCCTAAAGAAGCTGGACAAAGGTGAGTACGTTGAACTATGGTACTTCACTAACGACGGCCTGGACGAGGCCAGCATAAAGAAGACCATTGACGACGACACCATGATCCTTTCAACTCTGGCAGATGGCTCTACGGCCTGGGTCTCATCGGCCTCCACACGCAGCGCTCGCTCGGTGGTCAATGATGAGAACTTACCGTTTGAAGAATTTTGTCAAGCTTGTCCCTGTTTTCTGACCGCGATCGAAGAGGCGGAATGGCCAGAGGACAGGGTCCGGATGATGGCTCGCTTCTGGATGAACATTCAAGTTCACAAGTTTCGTTCACTCAGAGACCCCATAGCGCAAAAGACGCTCTTAGTATATCAAGCGGAGCAACGAAGACGATGGCACATCGCAGCGAAGTCCTCTGTTGGACCTTATGATCTTTCCGAGGTCAACGAGAAGGTTCTCAAAGACACGAGGGACAGGGTATATTGGGACGAGCGCAGTAAGAGAGACAATGAGCGTGATTACAAGGTCAGAATCTAATTTAATAATAAGCAACAATTAAACTAAACAATGTGTTTTTTCTTTTTTAATCAACATCGAACTAAAAAATGCTACACACGCTACACGCTACACGCTGCACGCTTCACGCTACACATCGTTTGCCACACGCTACGCGCTACACCCCACTCGCGACATGCTACATCCCACTCACTACAATACGACCTTGCGTCACAGTCGGAGCACAACACCAGTTCCTCCTCGAAGCATCGTGACTGGAAGGAGTCGCGCAAGCGTTCTCCCTCTCCAGATCACTCGAGCAAGTCAAAGAAGCCACGCCAGGATTTTCGAGCAGGCGCAAGCGGAGGAGTCCTCTCTGCTTGCGCCGTATGTCTCGGATGAAATCCGCACAGGATTATCGAATGCAAAGCGACCAGAACCTGGGACGATGCATACGAGACTCTCTCTGCGCGGATCAGAAAAATCCTCACCATGCGCGACGGAAAACCCATATGCAGCGACTGGCAAAGAGTCAATGGCTGTTCAGAGATCACTCACGACCGACGTCATTTCTGTTCAGGATGTGGTGCCTCCACTCACGGTGCTCAAACGTGTCCTCGAGCACAGAGGGCGTGAAGCGCTCACCCCGTACAATCCTGAAGCATGGGAGTCCAGGCTCGCAGCAGCTGGACTTATGGATAGATACTCTCACATTCCTGAAGGATTGCGCAAAGGTTTTCGTCTCGATATTCCTAGCATTAGCATCACGCAGGTACCGCCAAACAAACAATCAATTAATACATATCAACGAGAATTTCAGGCAATCGTGCGAACTGAACTTGAGAAAGGAAGGTACATTGGGCCGCTACGAGCCAAAGACGTCGAAGAACTCATCGGTCCATTTCAATCTTCCCCTTTCTCCATCATTCCTAAACCAGGACGCCCCGGGCGTTATCGTATCATCCAAAATTATTCATTCCCGCATATTACGTCCGCGAAGTTTCCCAACCCCTCTATCAACTCTCATATTAATCCGGACGACTTTCCCAGCACCTGGGGCACCTTCCATGTCACAGCGCTCACACTCAGCCGTTTACCACCAGGTTCACAAATCGCCATTAGAGATGTATCAGAGGCTTATCGCACGGTCCCAATTCACCCTTCACAATGGCCTGGATCCGTCGCGCGCGTGTCAGAGGACCTTTTTTGCATCGACACGTGCATGTGTTTTGGCTTACGGCCATCAGCAGGGGCATACGGTTCTCTTGCCGACGCAGGTCTGGATCTTTTTCGCTCACGGGGAATCGGGCCCGCATCTAGATGGGTCGATGACCACTTATTCATACGGATACTCAAAGAGCACATCGCAGCCTACAACGAGAAAAGACGAGAATGGCACAGGGACATTAATGACAGAGGGAAGCATCAGGATGGAGGTAGGACTTGGTTTGGAGGCTTCGTGTTCGAAGATGGGACCTTGGAGGAATTCGACGAAGATTGTCGATTCCCGATCGTGGATCTTTCCGGCGCATCGGCAAGATCGATTGAAGATGCAAGGTTCTCGTTCAACCTTTCAGACGTCGATGACCTTTCAGAAGAACTTGACATACCATGGGAACGTCTCAAGGACAAGGCTTTTGCCTATGCTAACCAGTACATTGGCTTCATGTGGGATATTGAGAGGGATAAGGTTTATTTGGATGAAGAGAAGAAAGGAAAGTACTTGGAAGCGATCAGAGTGTGGCAGAGTCGCGACACACACGTGCTCAATGACACGCAGCAACTCTACGGTAAGTTGCTGCATACCACGCTTGTCATGCCGAAAGGGCGTGCTTATCTTACGTCGCTCGAAGCGATGCTATCCCTTGCGTTCATCAAACCTTTTATCCCAAGGAGACCCATCAAAAAGCTCGAAGCTGACCTCGCCTGGTGGAAGCTTTTATTGCAGAGCTCTTTCGTCGGTCGCTCGATACCGAGACCACTCACGCTATACAATCCAGAAGCGTACTCGGATGCAAGCTCTGGATTCGGAATCGCCATCACCATTGGCCTTAAGTGGAGAGCATGGCGATTGCGCAAAGGGTGGCAGACCCTTAACGGAAAAAGGGACATCGGGTGGGCAGAAGCAGTCGGGTTTGAGTTACTCGTTCTCTACCTTGTCAGCATGGGAGGGACACAACGTAACTTTAAGGTATTCGGAGACAACCAAGGAGTCATTGAAGGTTGGAGAAACGGGCGCAGCAGGAACGCGGCAGTCAACGAAGTCTTCCGCAGGATCTTCACTTTTATCGACGATTCCACAACATCGTATTCATTCCACCCTACCTACGTCGCCAGCAAAGCCAATCCAGCGGACGATCCGTCCAGAGGTGTTTACGGCAGCACAGAACACTTGCTACCGGACATTCCCATCCCCAGCGCACTCAATCCCTTCATCATTAACCCATTCATTGCCTCCACAGACCCGGGAGAATACAATACGGATGGAATTTCACCAGATACCCTCGAAGAATCTTCTCTCGACGGTGCCCACGGCACCGTCGAGAAGGTCTCAGGAATTGTCGATGACGCACTCTACCACATCCACCAGAGGCAACAACGCGCCGACCAATATCTCTCGCTTTAGTGCAGCTCTTCCTCTTGATCCAATAGCAAAACCATTACCATACAGAACGGGACTAACACCAGTACCCTCACAACACCGTCCGCACTGTTTAGCACGCGACAGATTGAAGCTCTGGTTTCCGTTCGAAACCAGGACAGCTACAGGAGCAGACGGTCAGTTCCTAACTATATCGGACGAAGACTTAGAGAGAGTATTAACGGTGATGAATCTGTCTTGGGCGCCTGGGACGAGAGAATGTTATGGGGCAGGTCTCTTGGTTTTCCACGTATTCTGCGATGAACGGAACATACCAGAGAGCCAAAGATGTCCGGTAGACACCCGCACCATGCTGAACTTCATAGCGAGCTGCGCCGGAACATATTCCGGAAAAACCCTAACAAACTACGTTTATGCAGTGAAAGCTTGGCACACTCTCCACGGTCAACTCTGGGAAGTTCAACAGGACGAACTGAAGGCGTCGTTAGACGGAGCTTCGGAGCTAGCACCAGAATCCTCTAAACGCGCCAAGCGTGATCCTTTCACAATTAAATTAATCCTGGACATTCGATCTCACCTTGATCCGTCAACGCCTCTTGACGCCGCAGTATTCGCGTGTCTAACGAGCGCCTTCTACGCATTGTGTCGTATCGGAGAGCTCACAGTCAGAACGATGAAGACTTTCGATCCAACGAAGCACGTCAAACGTTCAGACTTACAGATGGATGTAGAGGACAGACACGGGCTCAGGGTCACCAAGATATTCTTACTGCGCACCAAAGCGGCCTTGACAGGTGAAGGCGTATACTGGGCGCAACAACAGGATGGCTCAGACCCCAAAGCGGCTATACTCAATCATTTTTTGGTCAACGAGCCGTCACGAGGCGGACACTTGTTTGCTTGGAGACACAAGAAGGGTGTGAGACCATTGACTAGATCAGAGTTCTGGAAACGGATTAGCGGGATAATCAAGAGGGCTGAGCTAGGGAATCTGAAAGGACATGGATTGCGCATCGGAGGTACCTTGGAGTATCTGCTGAGAGGAGTCCCCTTCGATGTAGTTAAATCAATGGGTAGATGGTCGAGCGAAGCGTTCACCATCTATCTACGCAAGCACGCATTAATTTTGGCGCCTTAGGTCCTGTTTGGACAGCGAATATTATAATTCAATTCAAAATTCGACCATCATGTGACACTACACGTAAGCCAGCTGTGAACCTCGGGTTCACCGTGTCGAGTGGCACACTAATTCCATCACAATGTCTGATAAGTCTGGTACTGGTTCTACACGCTCCCTTCGGTCTCAAGGTCCTGCTGATAAGAAAGCTGAGGGGACTGGCACATCCCGCAAGGCTGCTGCGATCTGGACAAAGGAGGAGGAAACAGCATTGCTTGAGTCTCTTCTGGGCGCTCTTTCTTCCTCAGGTGATGGTGGCTTCAAGGCACCTGCTTTCAATGCAGCAGCAGAAGATCTGAAGAAGAAATTCCCTGATCAAAGGGGTGCAGTAAAGACTGGGACAGTGTGCAAGAACAAATGGACATCGGTATGTTTACATAAAAGAACTCAAATTTCTTATCGGCGCTGGCACTAACATCAGTGCAATATCTTTCTAGTTGAAAACATTGTATAATGCTGTAGTTGATATCAAGAATACATCGGGATTCACATGGAGTGATGAAAATGGGGCAGGTATTGCATTGAAAGATGATGACGTCTGGGTCAGATACATCAAGGTGAGTATCGTACAAAGGAGCTCTAATACATGTACTCAATGTCATCTCTTTTGGCAGCACCATCCCACCGCAAAGCCCTTCAGGAACAAAGGATTCTCCCACCTCGCCCTTATGGAGCAGCTGGTTTCTAGTCAGGGGAAAGGCAAATACGTCTTCCGACCCCATTCCACCAGTACTAGTGCCGCCCTCAACTTGAATCCCACACCAAGTCCCACCACATCTACTACCACTGGCTTTATCGTCCCCCAGACCCCTAACCGTAATTTCACCACCATGCGCACTCCAGACACAGGCTTACTGGCCAGTGCAAATTCAAGTCAGGGTATGGATCCGGAATCCATCTCACCATCTGTCCCATCCACCTATCTTTCTCACTCTGCTGGCTCCTCAGTGGGAGCATGGACAAGTGTCAGCGATACTAGTGGAGCAAAGCGCAAATATAGCGCACTCTCTCCTGAAAGCGCTGCAGGCTCCAGTCACTCGAAACGGAGTCGTCCTCCATCTGCAACGCTGAAAGTTCAGCAGGAAGGCGCGGAAAGTATGAAGGATCTTGTCACTGTAGTTCGTGAGATGCAGAAGAACATGGGGCTGTCAGCCCCCCAGCAGTTACCATCACCACCCCAGCAAGTTTCAATGGCCGGGCTCGTGCAGGCTATCGCCCTCCTCAACCAATATGCTAACAGCGATCTTTTTGAAAGTGTTGAAGAGCAGCTGGCTATCGCTAACTATTTAGCGGATCATGAGAGCCAGGCGGTCCTTTTCTGCTCATTAAATGAGCAGACAAGATGTGCCTGGTTGGAGCAGAAGCGGCGCCAGCTGTGTGGATATGCATGATACATTCATTGTCGTTTACCAAATTACATGATAGACTGTTGTGTACTACGTACTAGTACTTTGAACTTCGATCCCTATGAAAACTGTATAGCAGGCTATTCTACAGTTACAGCAGCCCCCGACGTGCGCGCTCCGCAAGATAATCGGTCCACATCGCTGCAGCGATTCCATCTCGACGGTTGTCTGCCTCCCTTCTCTCCCCAGCATCTGGCTGTCCTTCTGAAAGTGTGCCCAATACCGCACCATGAGTATCATCATTCTCCGCGAGATCATAATCCTCCTCGGGGTCGAAGAAGTCGGGATCGTGCTGGCGAATGAAGTTGTGGATAGCGCAAAGCGCTGCTGGGATCCGTGCTTGAATCTCCATGCTGTATTCTGGCGCAACCTGTAAAATCCGCCACTGACGCTTCAGGACTCCGAAAATACGTTCAATAACGTTGCGTAGCGAAGCATGTCGTAGATTGAATAGCTCTTTAGGATCTCTGGGCCTGTACATATAATTTAATCACACTAAGTACTAAGGAGACTCAGAGAAAACTCACGCAAGGTTCGCCTGACGCCACTCCTTCAGATGATAGCGCACGCCTCGATAAGGGATCAGTAGTGCGTCACAAGTGCCAAAACCGGCATCTGCGAGAAGATATTTCCCTGCAGGCATGTATAAGTCGGTTTTGCGTGCGTCATTCCAGAGTGATGCGTCAGCGACTGAGCCATCCCAGCCACAGAGAGAATATGTAAAGCGAAACTGGAAATCGCAGATGAACAGACAGTTCTGGGACAAGAATCCCTTTCGGTTGCGCAGGACGACATGGTCGTCGAGTGATGTGAATGCACGGATGTGGGTGCCATCTATGGCACCGATGCATCGATCAAAGAACCGGAATGACGGGTTGTCATGTATCATTGCGGAGATTGGTGTATTTTCGTTAGGAAACTTAACTTGCGATGTGTAGAACGGATGGGATGAAAAGAAAAAGAGCATCCGCTTGAAATATCTAGAACATGGTCATATTAAATGAATTAGATCAATAGATGTGAATGTACTACCTTGTTATGGTGTCTGGAGAGTGTTGAAACCTCTCCCCAACGAGGCGAGATGAAAGTCCAGTCACACATGTGTAAAGAAAGATACCAAGTTGCTCGTCGACCGAGATGCCATTGCGCGACTGAACAAATCCATGCTTGTGAAGAGTCTGCACCAAGCTCTCAAAGACTTCAAGATGGACGCCAAAATTATGTTTGATACGATCTGGGTGACCAGTAATCAGTTCAATCACCCATGCCTTCCCTGTTAAGATTGATGTGTGGTATGGCACTTTTTCAGCGCGGGATGTAAGTAGCAACTTGTAGTAGTAGGTGATCTGAGCGATAGCGATTGTTATCGCAAGAAGAATGAGGTGTTTCCGACGCAAGTCACTTTGTGCTTCGAGGTCCATGCTTAGTTGCGGTGATGGTTGCAGTGCAAGATCTAATTCAGTAGTATTAAGTTAATCAATAATCAGAATCAGTCGGAACAGTCGGCGGAATCTAGGTCACCAAATACATCACGTGCAGTGTCACATGATGGTCGAATTTTGAATTGAATTATAATATTCGCTGTCCAAACAGGACCTTACCTGCAGGAATCGCAGGCGCTGGAACCGTTCACTCGCTACACAATGCCGATAATGCGTTAACAAGGTGAGTTTACAACACTTAGCCCTTCTCCTTAGAATGGGGAGTCCACGCTGCGCCATGACGCGTTGCAGGGCTCCTTATATTTGGGAATCACGGCTCATCGGGACTTCCTTCACAGGTTTCGAAACGGTGTTTCGGGTCGTAAAACCCTGCGGGTTTTAAGCCCAAATAGCTTCTCAAACGTAGTCATCACTATTTGTTTCGATCAGATATCATTACTGGTTAATATATCTGATATTCTTTGTGTTCAAAACAAAAACCGGTAGCTACACATAGACACATTTTATGTCCTTATTTCCCTCGATTTGTCTCTCCGCCCAACTCCAAGTCCATAGCGGCTCCCCTCTCGCATACAGGCATTCTTGAACAGCTCTTTTAGTGAGTCTTTACCACTTGTCGGTCAAGAACTTGTCACCAGCCTCCACGCAAACGGTTTGAACAGTTACCACCAATGACTCATACAGAGGGTGAGTGTGGAAAGAAGATGGAAAAAAAGAGAGAAAGCGGGTACAAACCAACGATTGTCGCATGGTCAGTCCTTCCTACAGGACGTCGCTTCATTATCAGCCACCTGGGTTGTCCGTGACCGCCTATTATTCCACCCATGGCACGAGATGGTAGTAGGTGATAGTTACGCAAATGGCTGAAGACTTTCTCCACACCATCTTCAATCCCAGCATCCAGAGGACAAGCCAGGGAGGTAACCAGTGGAAGAGAAGATTCGAGTTGGTCCCAAAGTATATGATATATAAGGGTTGAGACTCAGTACCTTTGCAACCACACGTCGTGCAAATTCATTAGTAGGCAGTATATGCCCATACGACCACCAATTGAATACGTACAGATGTCCAGCAAGATGCGCAGCCCAAAAACCGTCAGCTAAATGGAGAATCAGCCCGCAGCAAAGAATGTAACAGGGAAAATCCAACTCTTCTAGCCATCAGTATCTTGTGTGATCCCTCTCAAATTAATTTGATTTAATTTATTTAATTTCGGGTGAACCGTACAGTACTGTTAGGTTGATCACCCGTTGATCAACCTTCTCCAAAAGGCGGCCACTTGTGGGTATACTTATATGACCAAATACCCAATCATCCTTTCAACTAGGGTATCTTCCATCGATGATGTTGTCGGGATCGGGCATGGTATAGTTGACGAAGCAATCGTGCGCATAGTCGATCTGCCCAATTCGTTCATGCATCGCACTGATGAAACTAGGCAGTGCGCAGAGACCGTTCGGATCTTCCGTGCAACCACAAATGCCCGTCAGTGGCACCACACCATCGTTCAGAAGGAACCGGATATGAGTTGGCTCTTCTGAGGCTGGGCAACTGAGTACCTGCGCTACAAGCTGGCTCGAAAAGGATGCAATCTGGCTGGCAATGTATGACTGATGTGACTGGTCAGAAATAGAGGTAAGCGGTGGTCTATGAGACTGCGTACACGGTGAGGGGGTATATGATCGGTTGGAAGAGGACCAGTTGCAGCTAGACTGGTAAAGTTCAGAGTGGTGACGACTGAGCCCTTCCGTCAGTACTCTTGCACTGGGAATGAAATGGCAACGTACTACTGGAAATGACAGTGTCATGGGTAGCGTCCACATATATAGGTTGATTAAGAGGGAATGTGATGTTGTTTGAGTTGAGAGTGCCGTTGGTGCTACTGTTCCAGACATTGATGGGAGTGTGAGTGAGGCGCGACACTAGTTCTTGAACATAGCCAAGGCCCTGCGCTGCTGCTGTTGGATTACCTGGTCCACTGCTGTACCAGAAATCTTTGTTCACAATGAACTCATTAGTCGCTCAGGCTGTAAATTCACCATTCAATGTACTCACTAAGATCTGCAAATAGAGATCACCGCCGAGCTCAACAAGGATCATTTGAGAACACATACCGACGTAATACTCGTACCCTTCCCACTCTTTCTCAGTGAAAAGGCCACAAAACTTGGAATATCCGAGGGCCACCGTCTGCCGTATGTCAGAAATCCATGAAGACCGTGTAAATGATGCGATTACCTCATAAGCACAGAGTTCTTGCATATCAACCAATCGTGAGGTGGTCAAATTAAATCCTTGAATCATTGGTTGCAAGCGCTTCCGAGCATGTTTGAGATAGATATCCGCCCATTTCTTAGACTGAATGCCACCGAAGTTGCCGACATCCTCCGTATTGACATTGGGGCATACATCATAAGGAGCGAGGGTGTTGTTGAAGTTATTTTCCTCGATGATGATCTCCTGGTGATAGTCGGTCTCGTAAGTTCTGATACCAAAAAAGCCTGCAGCAAAGTTCAGGCTACCGATAGCATTATGAGACACAGAGAACGCAGAAATATGGATGCATTGCTCACGCAGAATCCAACATGCGATCTATACGACATAAGCAAACAATCAGAGCGAATTACGAAACGAGCTTTCGATGCGAGCAAACCTTCGGAAGTGGTACGGAATACTGGGAGGTCCGTGAAGGCATTAAGCAAATTGCCGTATCTGTAGCGGAAGGCAACCCCATTGCTAAAGCTGATGGAGGGGAGTGTCAATAGAAGTATCGTAAAGGAGAACAAACGTACAGCGAGTCGCGGCCGAAGGGCGTCAAGATCTCTGCGCCCAACTTATATTTCCAGGTTGCCAAGAATTTCAGATCGCCAGTGACATTGAAGCCTTCTTTCGATGCAGCAGCATGAATTTTAGAGGCAAAGTGAGAAGATCCGGAGTCAGAGGTTGGATAGCGAGCGCCATGGCGCATTAAGAGATGGACTGCGTTGAGGCCACACCCTTCTGGGATGATGGGGGATGCATCAGGAAGGCCAAAGGACTCCACGGAGTACATAGGAGCCAAGTTTCCCCATTGACGCATCACATTGAAATTGGGATTTGCGCCGTCTGCGGAATTGGGCCTTGACAAGGGATATGCGTTTTCGACCTTAGAGAACGGAATGGCAGTGACAATGGCCGCAGGTTCAGCACCAGCTGATATGTTTAATTAGACCACATGAAATACAACACTAGCATGATCACTGACTAGGTGTTGGACCTGCATAACCGACTTGAGATCCATCCGGGAAGTAGTAAGCGTTAACAGCAGGGGCGTTGGTGGCACCGGGGGGAGGATAAGAATCAACAAGGGTTGATCCTGCATAACTGGATGCCAACTTGGCAGTGCAGAACGGTAGAGCAAGCAGCAGAACGGCGGCAAGCATGGCGAGAGGTCAGAAGAAAAATGAAACAGTCGAGTTACATACTTTATAGCAAATATACGTGATTATGAGAGAAGTTCGAGACCGAGAAGTCTACATAAGAACGTGGCCCAAATCGACTGTAGGAAGCTACGCTCGGGCATTCCGAATTATAAAACGTTTGCATGTGCCAACACAGTGATCGCTTTTACTTTGGGCAACTCCTGCCGAATTTGGCGGACCATCCGCGAACTTTTGGTGATGTCCTTCCCCAACGTGCATCAATACATGGTGACAATCAATGACTCAAGCGAGAATTAATATTCAAATATCAAGGCCAAGGATCGCGTGCGTCGCTCCAACGTTGGCCTGAGGCCTGAGGCACCATCCTCGAGTCGTCCTCGACCATCATCATGCGGCAAAATGCACTTGGCAGTCCTGGTGATACACACTATCAGCAGGGTGGTAGTAATAATCATGAAACTAGTACGTGCGCGAGTTGGGTAACCATGACGGCGATGTCGTATCAGAAGTTGTTGAACGTTGCATAACGTCGCCGACTTTCGGGGCTGGACCAAAAGACCCGGGTTTGTTGAACTTGTAGAGGTTCACTAGTACTACCTCATGTTACCGATTCAACGGTGTTGGAACCGACTGTGACTGTGGCCAGCTGTTTTTCCCACCACCAGATATACTTAGTGACTGACTATAAGCTATTACGGTTTCAAGTTGCATATAGCCGTGGCTTCTTGCTTCAATTCTAAGCTTTATGTATTGAGGCAATGCTTGTCATCCCCTTACACCAATAGCATGCAACGAATACCGTCATTACTATTCCAGTCGTCCAAAGTCTTAAATACAACATTGTCCCCATCAATCATTCCCTCACGCCAGTATCATGACTTTGTTCGCTTCTCTACGCCAGGTTAGCTTCGCTTCTTCTTCACTTTGTGGTTTGAACGAACAAGTTACCGTGTATAGGTGGCGCAGCCCGTGTACCACTTCATTCCCCCACCATCATAGGCGTGGCAACCTCAAGAGGTACTCGCGGGTGAGTACTCTTCCTCACCCCTCGTTGCGCACCTAAGGCTCAGTCTCTGTTCGCGCAGTCACCAGGAAGATTACTATGCTTTGGCATCACTACTCTTGGATCCTGACGGGCTACAGGCAGGCTTGAAGAAAATACTCGGCATCGATTGGACCCCGAAGAACATCAGTGATCCGTTAGCACGTCAGGTAGTCTTTGTCGGTCTTTATGATGGGTATGTATCGTATACGTCTTGACACATACCGCCCGTTGACACCATACAGACATGGCGGGTCTACCGTTTCTCAGTTTTTGCGCCAGGAGTTACATGGGCTATTCGAATCCGTCGACAAGGCTCACATTCCAGAGTTGTATCTGTGGATCAAAGACCAAGGGGGTTATTTCAAGAGGTTCCGTGGGGGTGCCCTTGCTCCCTGGATAAATCACTCCAATGGAATGCCTCCGCTAGATCTCGAGGCACGTGCTACTCAGGCATTCTTTGAAGTTGGTGAGCAACAATTTCTCTTCCATTTACGTTTATAAATGGGGTAAGTTTAGACCGCCTCCTCTCTATTGAGAGTGAAGCCAAAACATGTGGAGCGACAGCGTCCGTCGCCATCCTCCACTCCCTTGATACCCGCCCGTTCTTCTCATCCACGAATCTCGTTTTGACAGTCGCTCACGCTGGGTTAGTCATATTTTTAATAAACACAGACATGCGTTTAGAGAACATGCAAATAGCGATGCTCGAGTACTCCTTTGTGGCACCAATGACTGTCTTGTCTGCCCGATGACCGAGAATCACCACCCCGATACCCTTATGGAGGCCGCACGTCTCCGACGGATGATGGGTTCATCACTTATCACTGATTCTTTTGGCGAGTCTCGGTAAGGCAAAGCAACGTTTTCTATTATCGCCTCCTGCTCATGACCTTGCAGCTGGATGGGTGCTCTGGCAAATACGAGAGCGTGAGTAGCACAACCACCTGCTTCTAGTGATTTACTGATGTTCGTCTTAGTCTCGGAGATCTCAAATGGAAGCCGTACGGCGTGACTCCAGAACCAGATGTTCGAACCATGCTATTGGAAGGTGTTATACTTCCTGTGGAGTGTTGTCGTAACTTCTTACATCCTCGATAGGCACTAAATGGGCGTACATGATCATCGTCTCCGACGGTGTGTCATCCATACTATCCGATCAAGAAATAGTCGATGTTGCCCGAGGTGCACCAAGCCCGAAGAAAGCTGCCGAGCAAATCTTATCATACTCCGAAGAATTGGGTGGGGAAGACAATGCAACGGTTATAGTCGTGCCCTTGTCTGGTTGGCGAGAGATTCAAGGGCCTGACAGGACCCGCGCTCTTCGCGAGTATCGAAGTCAGCAAGCGGGTGAGTGCTTTGAGTTCTTCGAGTTTTCTTGATTAACAGTGTTATGATAGTCGGAAGTGAGCGACAGAGGAGAATGTGATTTAGAGGATTTATGAGTGATACCCCCTGTTAGAGTACATAATTCGCTAAATTTTTGCGGGATTTTATTGGACTTTATTTGTCTGGTGTGTTAGTACAATGGATCAGCCTCCTTTCAAGGGAGGTCTCTAAATCTGCGCTACGGCATGACCATCCGACCTTGGGTCACACCCAGCAGCCCAAACAGTCTTCCCAGACGCATCAACAATCTTCTGAATGACCTGTCCACGGCCCATCATCTCCCTCCCCCAGCCGCTGACGGAATTGGCATCATGACCCATGGCTAAAGCGACTCATTCAGAACAGGGATGCCAACAAAACAAAAAGCCATACCGCGAAGCTTCTGAATAGTTGACATAGGAATAGCGTCTTCAAAGTTGATTCCACCGCTGGCCACGCCAAAGGCAGCAGGATCTTTATCATCTGGGTCAGGCATTCCAGCTGAGATGCAGAATCGAGGGGCATCAAGGGCAGCTTGGGCGGTGAATCCACGCAGAATGTTAAGTAGGACCTGGATGTGACCTTGGGGCTAAATGATGTTTATTTAACCACCATATCCATGGGCACTGGAGGGCTGCGAGTATATACCTGCATGAAACCACCCATCACACCGTAGGAGAGGAACAGATCGTCTCCTCGTAATGCCATTGCAGGGATGATGGTGTGGTATGGCCGCTTTCCGCCCTACAAAAATGGCACAATTCAATGGGCTGCACCGTTAAGTTTGCTGTATGATATACCTGTAGGCTGTTAGGGTGACCTTCCTGCAGAACAAATCCAGCGCCCCTGTTTTGAAGAGTAAAGCCGCATCCCTTGGGTACAGCTTCACATAAAAAAATTCAGTGTCGTCTAAACTGTGGCGCGGATTGATGTCACCTCCTGTCCCAAATCCTTTGTTTGCAAATTATCAGCGCATGCACTCGCGGATAAACTGAATGCCTTACCTGCATAATTGCTCTGAATAAAACTACATGCGTTTCCCCACTGATCCGAAGCTGAAACATGAAAATGTTTAGTAAATGGACGCTGCATAAAGCCGCATTATCTATCATACCAGTGAAGTAAACCGTATCAGATGAGTTCACTGGGTTTCCCTACCCGACTGTGAGTACATTAAATGCGAATGATCCTCGAACAGGGCTCACGTGGACGATGCTGGTGTTTCTAGCTTGAGGGTCGAATAGAGCTGCGCGTTTAGATAGATATTCCTATAGCCTAGATTAGTTACGACGGAGCAATCCAGGCTCGAATGCTAACCTTGCTTAGTAGTTCCTCGACCGGTATTTTGTTGAACTCAGGGTCAGTCACGTAGTATTGTGTATCTGCTGCCTGTCAGTTACGAAACAAAAGCAAGCGATGTAATGATCTCACCCGCAAAGGCGAGGCTAAATAAAAGAGGCGTAAATGACAATGATTGAGCATTCGACCACTAATACGCACCGCAGAGCCTCAATGAGTGCATGGAGATACTCGGCAGAGTTGTGTTCTAATTCCAGGAGGGACGGAATCTTTCCTTGTATCTGCATTTGCTCAAGAATGCCAAGAGCAACCAGTGCAGTGATGCCTAGCAATGAGCATTAGTTACGCTCAATGGAGACTCGTTTATCTTCACCTTGACCATTGGGAGGACACTACATTATGATAAAGTCAGCATCTACCCGTAAACCACACCATCGACGGCTCACCTCATAAACAGTAACATCTCCAGCATAAGTGTATTTGATCGGTTCTACGAATGATGTCTCGTGCTTTGCAAGATCGTCGAGCTCCATAACACCCCCTTTGCTTTGAACGAGCTCCACTATAGCTTCTGCGATACGACCTTTATAAAAACCATCCTTTCCTTGCTCTGCGACAGCGCGGAAAGTCTTGGCAAGGTTGGGGAACTGCATGATTTGACCTGGGAGAGGTGCTTTTCCATTCAAAAGCATTTCATGTCCGCTCGGTGACGCATCTTGTATCAACTCTTCCGAGTGCTGCCACTGTGGACAAATCAGCAAATTGCCCGACGTAAACAAAAGTTGAACTGGCATTATAACTGTGAATTTCGGATACTGGAACTCTACAACCAAGAGTAGTCAATAAACTTGGTGATGAGTGGGATAAATATCACAGACCCTTCCTCGGCGAGTCTAATCGCAGGCGCCAAAACTTCAGCGACGGTGAGTTTTCCACTTCCGAACGTCTCCACAGTATCGACCCACGCAGCAGCAGCACCTGCTCGCTTGTTCATTCGTCGTGTGATCAGATGAGTCAAGAAACAAACCTGGGACGGTGACACAGTTGAGGTCTCTAAGAGGAATCTGGCCGCCTTTAACACCTCGTTGACGCATGTAATCGATCGACAACTTCTGAGGAGAGCGGCCAGAGCCATTCATCGCCTTTATAGTTTTCGTTTTGGCATCATAGAAGAGACAAAAGGCATCCCTATTTTACTCTCAGATTGGAATTATGCACTGGCTCTTGGAACAGACTCACCCTCCTATGCCGCAGCAACTTGGCTCGGTCACATTAAGAGCGGCAGAGGTTGCAACAGCAGCATCAGCTGCGAACGAGAGCGCGCAGCGTCGGTGAAAGCTGAGATCGAGAACACCGGCACTCACCTGCATTCCCGCCTTTCCTTAGGATTTCAAGTCCAGCTTCCGCTGCGAGAGGTTGAGAACAAGCAACGACACCCTTGGTACCATAGACTTGGGATCGTCGACTTGGAAATTGCTGGAACAAGAGGTCAGGTTGATCTATCTTACTCCAATCAACTTTCATTGCGGTGAATGTGGACTTGGAATCTTGCGGAGGGAAAGAGGAAGATGATGGTAGTAAGGAGCGACGAGAAATCGCTCAAGATACCGCTGTTGGTTAAAAACGGAGTGCCTAGCGCTCACATGCACACACCATCAGATTGTGTTTCATGCTCACATGAGCAGGATTACATGAATGGTATTCCTGACGGAACACCGGCGCGCAGTGCCAAATGATATATATAAGATTAGTACAAAAGCAAAAGTAATGATTACATAACAATCAGAGGAGTTAATGTGATATCGGTCATCGGGCAGGCGAAGGGTGACTGTCTATTTTTCGTCATGTCTCTAGAATTCCGTTTCCAATCAGCATCGACGGAGTACCAGAAAATACAAACAGAACTGGCAAGTTTGGTGGAGAGTCGTACTCGTCTCGATGCCCAGCTTTCCGAGAATGAGATGGTCAAGAAGGTCTGCTGTCAAACATCTTCGCAGACTCGTTTTACGAACTCCATCTTCTAGGAGTTTACGCAGTTAACCCCCAGTAATGTTGTCTATAAACTTGTGGGACCTGTATTGGTACCTCAAGATCAGAATGAGGCCAAAACCAATGTGGAGACGCGCCTGGAATTTATCAAGAGCGAAATGTCATTGGTTTCATGTCCGAGTTGAATGCAGGACTTATCAACATCACAGAAAACGCGTAGATGCACAAATAAATGATGGCGAGGATAGATCAGAGAAAAAGAAGAATGAGGTATTGTCGCTTGCCCATTTTTCCCGATGACGAATTTGACCCGACAATTCGTTGTGTCGCAGCTCGTCGAGATACAGACGAAGCTTCAGCAGGCTCAAACTACGCCAAATCCTTGAACGAATCTCGCCAAAATACCGCAGTGAAGATACTTTGGAATGGAATTCCTGATCAACTCAATTCAACGATTAACTTGTATTTTACCCCGCAATCACTCCGAGTGCTACTCATACAATGTACACCGTGCATGCTACTACAGAGATCTAGCCTACACATAACAGATCAACACATACTGAACCATCAATTAAACGCTGCTCGCGTCAATACAAATCTCTCATAGAAACCGAGCGCGACTGTTTTCGACGGACCAAGGCTCCTTGCCTTGATCATACCAAGCTCTCGCATGCCAACATCCCAGGGGAATTGACCAGTGAAGTTCGGGCATTCGTGAATATATGCGTAGGAAGCCTTGAGCCTTGTCACCTCCTCCGATGAGAAGAAAAGAAAAGATGAAACGTCTGGGGCAGCAGAGAAATCACGAGCGAGGGAGCGAAGAATGTCCTGTCGCCGTTCAATCTTAAGGCCAGAGAAACTGCGACGGATGCTCTTCCTGTACTCCTCACGCATCTTTTCGACGTGTTTGCGTATCTTGGAGAGTTCCATTTCCATTGTCAAAGCAGCGTGCTCATTGTTGCACTTCACACGCTGCAGCCTTGACTCAGCATCCTGCCATGGTTTCTCGAGAGCGGAATCTCGGTGACCATGGTGTCTGGAAAAAGCGCTGTCGACCTGTTGCAGTTTCAGGTCCCGGTGGTTCCGGGCATGGCTCATAATTGCATCCATAACAAATTCTGTCATGCCCTTGGGACGCTGGGCGTTCATTTCGTTGGTTTCCGGTTTCTCCTCCCCACACTCTTTCCACTCTGGAGAGCGCTTGTGGTAGAGCTTTGTATCGCTCTTCATGACCTCCGGTAAAACGGTCAAACCACTCTTCGCACCGTCAAGAATATTGCAAAACCTGTGGTTATATCAATGTGTGTCCCACGACTACAACAACTATGACCCACATGTAAGCCAAGCGAATGGTTTCATTATGCGCATATCCAAGGGTGTACACTGCCACGTCGTGTAAGTTCGAGTACTTTCCGACTGACGATATGTCGCGCAATCCTCCTAACAAAAATGACTGCAGGCGGGGTATCACATCATCAAATTTCCATCCTTGATGCTGTTCCAAAAAATCGTCGACTCGTAGGGTGTTTTTATGGAAATTCTCTGAGAGATTATCAGGCGGATGAGAGTATTTGAGATCGGCATTTTTGAAGTGCGACACTATAGACGGCTGCCAAACAGCAATTGCCTTGTCCCCATCGTAATCGCCTAATTGCCACTCGGTATCTTGATATGAATATAATTGTATGATTTGACGTACCTCCAGCAAGAAGATCCGCAAACCGGCGAGTTCCCTGCACAGAGCACACTATCACATCTGTGTAGCGCCTGAGCTCCGGTTTCTCAACAGCTTTGACCTGCCTCCAAAGCATTAAGATGTGAAAGAAACGGTAGATGACGGATCAACATGCCTTCTGAGTATCTGTCGGCAGTTTACAAGGATGTCGTGTGAGCTATTATCGGCTCAGTGTTTGTGATGAGACGAGGAGCGAAATTGAACAACACTGACCAGGACATCACCCAACACAACATTTGACTCGGTTCCATCAGGACAGAGAAATTTTGAATCCTTCGAGAGAATTTGCACTTCGTCAGGAGCCAATGTTCCGGAAGGGTCTAGGTGGCACAACGATCAAATAAACGAAGTCTTGATGATTGATAACCTCGCACCTGGCACAATCCATCCTACACAAGACATGGGTACCTCGATTTTATATCGTTGCACAAAGTTGTCGACCATCGTCTTGAGAACATTACGAAGCTTCTCAGCGAGAACTGGGCAATCGCGAGGAGTGAAACCAGAGTCAAGCATGACCATTACCGTCTCTTCAAGAGAAGAAGGGCAACCTGAGACCTCGTCACCCCACCAAGCGATTGAGCGAGGAATTTCGATGACCGCATTCAGATCGTCTTCATCATCATCTTCAATATCGTCATCTTTGATGGCGAAACCTCTTGATCGAGCCTCTCCACCAGCTTCACGAGCTAATCTAGATCCAACCACGGCACCGGCTCTTGCGACACTGTGCCACAGACGATACATAGCATCTGGGCCATCCCAATCAAGCAAACCGTCGACGATAGCATCCAAACCTTCCTTCATCAAATCAATAAATACTGAGTGGGGAACACCATTTTCAGCAAAATTCACTATGGTCTCTGCAGCAAGGCGAGAGGGAGAGCGCATGTGAGACGACCGTAGTACATCAATTGTTAAGTGACCAGGCGATAGTTTTCGAGTTTCAGGATACTTGACCTTGATCTGTGATTCGCGTAACCAGACCCGAGGGACGTCAGAACAATTTTCGGATGAATCAGGATGCAGGATTAGGAGTCCCTACAGGAAAAATACATAAATATTCGACTTTCACAACACTCGAGCAAGTGTCTGTTACCTTGGCACCAGCGATTCTACATTGGATTGCTGTTGGTGTTGTGTCCCATTGCAAGAGCTCACGCAACGCCTTCAAAGCAATTTTGTTAATGTACCCGCAGCCATCTGTCATGTCCGGACCCCCCGGGTCTTTGGTGCACGAGTCAGTTTTCACTATAATCAACAACGATAGCAATAGCTTACCTTCTTCTTTCAGATACATGATATTTTCCCGGCTGATGGTAATACCTGGGGCAGAGTTCGAAAGTCCCAATGCAAACCGCGAGGACCATTTTGCCACACTCTGAAATACATCAGTAATCTTCCCGAACTCTCAGAAACTGCTGCCAACCTGAGCCGTATTGTGATATATAGGGTTATGCCAGTCGAGATAATCCTCCAGAGATGGTGGTGGAGGGTGAGCATGAGAAGGAATTCGACTGCATCCCGTCGGATAATCAGTTGCCACGAGAAAAACACTTCCATCTTTTGCATAAAATGCTCGATAAACCAGACCACAGAGGAGAAAGTGTTGCGAAAAAAACTCCACAAGGCCATGCTGAGGCTTGTTCAGAATGTTCCTCGGCACCTTCACGCGTAGAAAATTCTTGGAACCATACTGTCGCATTAGTCTCGACGAGGACCCAAGCTCTGGCGGACTGAGTTGAATGCGGTATTCAGGTGTCTTAGTCTTCTTATCGATAGCCTTCAAAGTTGCACCAAAATGCACTTTCCCTCCATACCAACCATCGGCCTGTCGCTGAAACCCGCCAAAGCTGTCACCCATTGCAAGAGCGTGTTCGTGTTCTCTGTCAAGCTCTTTCCAAGGCGACTTGTTATGTCATCAGTTATCAACCATCGCAATCCAAAGGATCACCGTACCAAAACTGCCTTTTCTTTAACGAAGAATCCTTCTGCTTCGCCCTTGGAGTTCTGGCATGCAAATACCTTAGCTACTCGTGGTGTGGCTTCTTCATTTGTGCCGCGAAGCTTATCCAAGTCGGGAATATTGATGTCCTCGTATGCAAGAACATCGTAACTGACCATTTTGGCAATCAGCCACTGTACCCCAAAGGATATTTTTTTATTGTCAAAATAAGCTTGTAGATTTCGATCGTGAGCCTGCGAGCTTCGTCAAGAAGAGTCTCAAAACAGTGCGAGAAGCACCTACGATTGAATGGATTTTAATATTTGCATCGCTGATTCTCGCACTTTTACGTGGAGACAAGGAATTGTCAGGAGGTTCCTCTGTTTTCCGTTTACCTAGGATAGAGGACCAACTACTCGAAGGTGAAGCCGAATCCGCTGAATCTGACGAGCCAACAGACATAGTTGAAAGGGGTTGGGCAGGACTGGAGCCAACAGCGGTAGTCGACGGACGGGAGACCATTGGAATGTCAACTCTCGAGGTAATGCTGTTCACAGTGCCATTCAAGACTGTAACTAGTTGTTAGGCTCTCGGATCACATTGACGATGAGTTAACTCGCCATTTTCCGGCATATTGCACATCATATCGCTCAGGTCTTCCAGACCGGAGTAGACGGATGATTGCTGATGTCAGTGTCAGTTATGCGAGAAAGATGAGCTAATCGGAGACTGACTGTTGATGAGATCGAGTGGTTTGAAGCACTCCTTTCTACTGGTAGTGGAATGAAAGGAATGAGGGGAGAATTAACCTCTTGGTGATATGAAGTGGGTGTCCATGTCCATAACTATGTCACTTCACGCGCAAAACACAAGATCAAAGACAATCGTACCTTCTGCGAATTCCCATTCATCGTCTACTAAAATCTCCTCTTGTACCTCGCGGTAATAAGCGCGTGCCATACCCCTCGACATGCCTAGATACACAAAATATGTGCAAGACGTAGTTCCTAGTTAATGTGAGTTCAAAAAATCGGGACGAGGACGATGGTGAAGAATGTAGTGGGGACGCAGGCCAACTTGAGTTGGATCAGACTGATCATCCAAAGAAGCACGATTGGAAAGCTCCGAGTCGCTCAAGATAGAAGGTGTACGATCAGTTGGAACGTTGCTGGCAATGAGGCTGGTTGCAAGTCGTGATATCGGATGGATGGATTGAAGTCGAGATTGACTGATTTTGAACGTTACCGTAGGGTGCAAGGTTGTAACATACTAGTAGACTAGTAGTTGACCATTCTTTTGCAAGATTGTGGACAGCATCATGAATCAAAACTGATAATATGATCTGTCTCTCCTTGCTGCTGAAATTGGCGGTACTACAAGTTGCGTGTTGCAGTGTCAGGATCACTGTTGGGGAGTCACGAGTACAAACATGTTGCTATTGCATAAATATACACCCTATCAGATACGTGATATTGATAGCCCATCAGCTTTCCGTTCTTGACCGGGCCCTCAAGCGGTTCCTTCCCATTCGTGAAGTGTACCAGCTCAAGTAACCCAGCCTCGATGTCACCGAACCCTCGAAACAAGGGCTCTCTAGACGTGAAGTTTTGCATCATTTGGGCATAGTAACGCTGGGACAGTCGAAAGCGTGTTAGTAGCACATATATTTGAAATGAATGCTTATTGAATGAGCGCCTCTACATGATGAATATGAACAAGGAAAGGACTCGAAGCGCAGTCTAGGATGCCATGCAGACTCTGGAAGTTTGGTCAACCAGAGATTGGACCATGGAAAACTAGGTCCAAAAACGACTACGTTTGGCGAGCAAGTTTGTCTGTGCGAGTGAGCAAACGTACACATTAACTCGATGCCATCACACCCCTACGACTGTTGTGCAGCCTGCATATGTGCCAAATCCCGCTCTGTCTCTGGACTCTTCAAGATCTTTTCCAGCTTAAATCGTTTCCGGGCGGATATGGGAGGGCAGTTTCGTATTAAGACGGCATCATTCAATCGAAGGACTATTGCACATCTCAACATATATGCGGAGAGTGGCATTACGGCGACAGACCTTCTTGTTCGTCGTGTGTTAGGATCTTTTTGCTTCGTTCAATACGCTGAAGGTAGGGTGAGCATACTTGTTCTTCGTAGGGCAAGATTGAAAGTGTACTTTTCCGGTTAATTTGTGGATGACATGGCGTGAAACAGTGACAGTGGCTGTCTTGCGCATGCAGCCGGCTTTAGTGACGATTCCGGTCAATGCCATGGGAGGCATGGTAGGCAAGTATAACGAGTTTTGAGTTTGGGATGTTGCTGTTTGGACTCTTTACAGCGTGGGAAACATTAGGTGGAAAAGCTAAATTCCGCTGTGAGGTGTGGTGGTCGGTCATACTCAGGCTGCGGCCCTAAACTGTGGCTTAAACCTTCGTGACTGTATCAAATGCCATAAACTCTCAGAAATGTACACGAGCTTTTGCTGCGAATTCCTGTTCAATTGGCCCTGATTCCACCGTATCGTCACGCGTGCTGCATTCTGTTTTCAGTCACGATGGGGTCGACTTCTGGTCCGACACGTGCTCCTATCGTCGAACAAGCTTTTCTTGTTCGCACGGTCGTGTGTTCTTACCTTCGTGTCGACGACTTGGTCTAGACCGTATCCTACACAAGCACAACCGTACCCAATTGTTCTGCTAGAATCGTAACATCCACTCTTGGCTCGGCGTCCGCTCGCCCGTGGCTGATACAACTCCTGACCCCGCCTATCAGACAATGGGCTTGGCCGTGATTAGCTCACAAAGCCTCGCATGTGTGAACTCGTCAGATCTCAAGTCGAACGCCCTTCCAATGGACATGAATGTCATATGGTTTTCTGCCGGCTATAGTTAGCCTGAAGTTATGTATTGGCGATTGCCCATGTGCATGAACGTTGAACTTCCGGTAGAATTAATAAGGTAACCATGACTGGAAGGTGACCCGCACGGTGCTTTCTGCGATGTGATCGTGACCCCTATGATTTCACAGTCTGTAGCGGTGCACACGTGTCCTCGACTGCCTTGGCCTTGCACAAAACTCGTGTAAGACCACGTGCGCCGCTGTGCGCGGGAGAGCTCAAAAAAATTCTCTTGGTAATTTAGCCGATCAGCCTTGGAATCCTCCAGTCAACTTTGAACCACTCTTGACAATGGGGGAGACCTCAAAAAACTTCAAAATTTGAGTGCCAGCGTTTTCAACGAGATTTTGCTCCCGGCTCACTCTGAGCCCCGGCAATGCATGCTAGTAGCTAAAAGTCAATTAAGGCCCTTCTCCAAAAGCTATCCAGAAATGGTAAAACCTACGCAAGGATGAGCCATTTCGAACGTCAGCAACCTGTAATCAATGACGAGCGCAATAAAACTCACGCTGGCCATTTTGTAATCTCGACGCAATATCCTTTCAATTTATTGAGAATTGCCCCCTGCTTCCTTTTCCTTGAACGGCTACGTCCATGTAGTCATCGTCTTCATCTTCCCTGTTTCCTGTTCGTTTGGCAAAATATTTTTCAGCTCCATGTGTAATTTCGCCAAATTGCACATCAGATTTGAAAGTGCAAAACGGAGATTATCTGGGAGAGTGCCATCTTTCTCGATCTCCATAACAGTGGTCAGGACTCCGCCAATCGAGCTGAACTCATTAAGCAAGCTCCGAGAAGACGAGTCAGCGTTGCGGACGGAAGCAACATATTTTAACACAAGAGCTGAAGCTTGCGCTATCGCTGAAGAATAGTGAGACCGCTGCAATGGTGGAACGATCTAGAAATTTGTGGAAAGCCATTGCAACATTAGCCAAGACTGTCATCCGCTTAACCGTTACACCCAAAGGGAGTGATATTAAGAGCTTAAGTTTCAGTATCGCAGACAGTATTTATGTAGATTATGCGAACTCTAGTAACTTGAAGCCAGCGCGCTTACAGCCATGCAATAAATAAACTTATTCGATATACAGGTGCTTAAATATTCAGATCTCCTACTACGCATATACAGTCCGGGGACAACGAACCATTTATTTGTACTTGTAGCCTTCCTGCATCATGACCAATCCATCGATGCGAGTTCCTCATACTAGTTTGAGTCTGACCATAGCGGCTCTGCCGCGATCAGGCCTGCGCATTATTTTTAATAAGTATGCGGTGTGTATCATATGTATGGGGTATTTATGATATCATGAAATATGTTGTTATTAAGTTATGCCGGCGAGCTTGAAGGTAGGGGTCCAGAAGGAGCATATTTCGACTTGAATCTCAATGTTGCTCCATATCTTTTCAGTGTTAGTCCAACATGATACAGCAGATCTTGTATGAAACCTACCTTGACAGGACGAAGGGAATTGGCATCATGATCAGAGCGATGAAACCAAGTAGTGACGAAGCCCATTCAGGGCCGAGCCCATCGTACATTTGAGTGGCGAAGAGCTGAGCGAAGAATGATGAGCCGATGGAAGACAGAATATTATCTTCACTCACAGGAAATCCAGCGCCGAACAAACTACGAACGACAGTAACTATAGCTAGCGCAGAGGCAGCGACAGCCAAATATGCATCGATGATGTAGTTAATCAGGGCAAGCTTCAAAACCGTCGTGAGCCGTAAGCCAGCACGCAAATTGTAACGACATACGAATATCAAGCAAATACTCCATCCGAGCAATCCACCCGACAGCATCGGGGCCCATATCGAGATGCTAGGAAAGGACGTCCATGCAAACCAGAAGAACGATATAACAAGGAATGGCGCTGAGACCATGGCGACCCTCAATCTAAACTCTGGCGGCACAGGGTTTGGTGCGCATTCCTGAGCTTTGCGCTCGTAACTTGGGTTAAAAAAGAGAATGTACTAAAACGCATGATAAGAATGTGCAAGCACACGGATGAAATATACATACCGTTGCAACCGCAAGAAACCCGCCAATGGGCAGCGGAAGGAACACGAGTCCAGAAACACCCGCATTCAAGTTGTGACCCTCGGTGAAAACCACAGGATAGGCCTCGAAAAGCAGGTATATACAGCCATAGACAAACTAGGATATAATTGTCAACAACCTTGACGCCGATTTTGAAAATAGCCACGCTTACGCTCATGTACAGAGTTATAGCCATCATCATCGGCTCAGTAAAGAGAACTTTGAAAGGCCGAGCAAGAATGTTTTCTATGCGCTGTGAGAATGTTATGCGTTGTATTTCAGTGGCAGCATAATATTTCTCGTCTCCAGTGCGCTTCCGGATCTCTTTAGCTTTCTTGGCAAGAAGCACTGGACTAAAATTATGGGATGAGCGCCTGGCCAATAGAAGACATTCCGTAAGATGCTCTCACCTATATGTCTCGGGCATCGTGAAAATGATCTGCAACCAGCAGACACCAGCCTAAAAACATATGTGAGTCGTAGTTGACAGAACATGGAGACAGGACTTGCAAAGATAGTCAATATCCAAAAAAGCCAGCGCCATGATACACCAGCTAGAACAAGGTATCCTGATACTACTGGTCCAACACCTGGACCAGCAAACGGAGCCACAGTGAAAACGGCGAGAGCAGTGCCGCGTTGCTTTGCGTCCCAGATGTCCGATATGAGCGCGCTAGAAGATTCGCGTTGTAAGAATGTAACTTTCCCACCAGAATAGAGTGTCCCTACCCTGAATTTGCTAATGGGGCAGCTGCAAACATACCCCCAAGGAAACGGAAAACCAACATGGATGTGATGTTCTGTGACAAAGCGCAGCCAATTTGGAAACACTAAAATATAAAGGTAATTGAGTGAAAGGCAGGCAGTGAATGGAGAGGCAGACAGACCATGTATATGAAGAAAGATATAATAAATATTGGGCGTCGTCCGTACTGTTCGGACAACGGTCCCCAAAGCAAAGGGCCAACACAGTAACCGCACACGAAAAGCGAAACAGTCAACGTTGCAACCTCCTCGGATACGCTAAAGTCCTCCATGAAAGTGGGTAGTAGCATAGATGGGGCACTACTCGAGAAGGTGCTAGATAGGGCAAACAAACAAAAGGTGAGCATTTAATATTTCCCGAGAGATGGTGTACGCACGCATTGAGGACCAGGAGACCAGCAGCGGAAGTGAGGTACCACTTTTTTGCAACAGACCAGTTCTAAATGAAATTGTGAGGTCATGGACATGGTAGTCTCGCAGCAAGTGGAAAGTACCTTTGGATTGGCTGGGTCACCCTCATCGAAGAGCACTAGAAATGAGTCTGGGTCGACCTTGTTGTCGAGAGTGACAGTAGAGTTTTCCGCAAGTTTATTGGCGGTGGTGGCTGATTGAAATGATAGCCTAGATGAGTCGGCCATGTTTGCAGCCAGAAAATGAGGGACCGAGTAGATTGGGGTGCCATTTTAAGAGGCTGAAAGGTGATTGATAACAGGACCCTACAGGCGTGGTCCTCGGGTATTCTGCTCATACTGACACAATCGTAGTGACATACTGGCAAGTTGGGATGTAGTCTAAAATTTGTCAACATTGTGTCTAGGGGGTGCCGATGAAACTTTGTCAGCTAGACCTGACTGATGCCGACGTGCCGATGTCAATCTTTAGACTAGTGCGCACGTGGAGCATCCTGTGTCCGCCCACAGGCCTAAGTTTCAAGGTCGGCGCGCGCCTCCAAACCTGGGATTGCCCACTAGTGGTCGCCGGCCGGTCGCAGTTACAGTGTTCACTGCCAGGGCTAGTGTTAGCAGAGCCCAGCATGTGAGCAGAGCCCCTAAATGCGTTTAAGAGTTTAACCAAAGGCTGTAACAACTTGAAGGTCAGGTGTACGTTTGACCCTTAAGTTGCGCATATTGGAGATCTTGTTAATTTAGAAAGTTTGGGAATGGCACTATCTCCATCTCGGGGTACGGGTCCTGTTCATTCTCAACAACGATGACCCGACTGTGTCACTTAATCTCCCAGCCTGGATTTCTCCGCAGTTCCCAGCCCGAGGCCGTAGTCAGCACGTGCTATATTGGACTTGCTGTCTCTAGGTACTCAGCTTGAAGACTGAAATAGACCGCGTTGCAAGTCAGAAGTGAACATCAGTCTGAAACAGATGGCACATCCCAGACTCCACATCGGAGAACATGACTGCGACTGCAGTGCGTGTTGCTCTGACACATTCGTCGAGAGTGGGCGTACCTTAGTAAGTACCAGTATCATCGTGTGGAATGACATGCCTGTCATCGTATGCTTTCTCGGAGGCCGTGAGGGCGCAGTAGATCTTGGAGTTTCCTGTTATAGCAGCTTGACAAAGTATGTATTTGAAGAGAGAACAAATTAATCCATGTCACAAGAAAAGACACGTTGAAGATAAGGAGAACCGATGTAGTCCACTGGGGAACGGAAGTCACCACCGAGCGGTAGCGTCCCAATTCCAAATACCGCAATTACATAAGCATTTCAAGTTCATTACTATTAATATACTTATTCAAGAATCATCGACATCAGCGATCATGGACTTTACAGAAATCTACAAACAATCCGGAAACCTTGCGTCGTTTAGCCCAGGCGCTCACTTCATTCTCAACGTCGTCGAAAACACCTTGATTGTCAGGCGAACGGACACTCTACAGATTACGCGCACATGGACAGTCAGCGCGCCTTCCAGCACAGCTACCATTCTATCCAACTCAAAATCAACCCCATTAAGCTCAGGAGTCTCTCCAGAAGCGTGGATATCTCATGCTGGTTGGTCTTGCGACTCTGAATATCTCCTTGCTGCATCCGCGAAGAAAGGCATAGTAGAGGTTTTCAAGCTTCGGGACGAAAATTGGAATGCCCGAATCGAAGCCGGTGTTGAAGGCCTCCTCAAAGCTGAGTGGGCACCGGATGGTCGCCACATTCTCTGTTTTTCTCAGTGGGGCGTAAGTATAGTTCCGTTTCATCCGTCTGTCGCTTGTTTGATTCGTCGGTAGCTTCGAGTTACCATTTGGTCTTTAGTCACCGGCAATGCCACTTACATACAGTTCCCAATACACCCTGATAAAGGTACCGTGAACTAGTATCACCGCCCACCTGTCATGTTATCTAATCAAGCCCAGGTTATGCTTTCCGTTCGGATTCCCGTTACTTTGTCTTGGCTGAGCGACATAGATCAAAAGACGCCATCGGTGTGTATGACGCAACTGACTGTTACAAATTAGTACGGGTAAGCATGATTTCGTTCTCTCCATTCATAGCTCATGACTAGAAAGGCATTCACAGCATTTTCCTGTACCAACGTCCAATCTGTCATCGCTGGCTTTATCCCCGACTGGTAATCATATCGCCGTTTGGGAGGGTATTTTGGAGGTGTGTCATCTCATATCGCAAATATAGGAGTCGGCAAAACGTTCACTCTGACACTTGATTGGCAGTACAAGTTGCAGATCTTATCTCTTGCCGGAGATGTGCAAGGGACTTTTTCACCCAAGCCAAATCCAGGGTTCGGCGTTCGTAATGCAGCTTGGCATCCTGCTGGAATGTTCCTTGCCGTGGCAGGATGGGATGATAAGGTATGTGGATCTACCGTGTACACATCATCGTCAAACATTTCTAGATCCACATCCTTGATGGCCTAACTTGGTCTGCCGCTGCAACGCTCGAGTTGTCAAGTAAGATACCAGCAGGCGCTGTGAGTAGATGGGTTAAACAAGGTGGAAGGTGCTCAATCTTGGTAGACACTATGGCGGGAACCGTCAAATTGGCTTGAAACTACGCAGGGTCGAGGATTTCTATCTTGTGCGAAATATATTATTGTCGCATTCATTCGGTGGTAATGCTGACAAAGTGCCCTCCAACTAGATGAACGACTACAAGGCCCACAAACAATCAGCTTACAGCGCACAGATCCGACGAAGCCGAACCCAAAGTCGGGTGCGGTTCAGCTTGAATGGAATAAGACTGGCACGTTATTGCTAGTGCGATTTGGTTTGCCAAGATATCTGTTTCTTTGAACATAACTTGACGTGATGAATGTAGAAAACTGCTCCACGGTAGTCCATTTGTACGATTTTCCAGCATCATCGGATCCATTTGTTCCCCGACTGCGTTGTGTTCTTCAACACGCGAAGCCAGTCCTGCAGGCACAGTGGAACCCAGTCCGTAAAGGCAGCTTGGCCCTGTGTAGCGGGAGTAGTAGTATCTATACATGGAGTGACGAATGGATTGGAGAGAATGGGGTAGAGGAAGATATGGCAGAGTGCATTGGTGTACCAGCGAACAGTAGGTTGCTCCATTATTTCTCTGCGTTCAGGATCATTAACGGTTTCCATAGCAAAATTTGAAACAAGAAGTATTAAATGGGCTCCCGATGGCAAAGGGCTGGTATTGTTAGACAAGGAGGTGTTTTGCTGTGCGTTTGAGGTGGAAGAGGATAGTACGGAAAGCTAACAGTTTTTAATACAATTGATTTGCTCATGATGCTTACTGTCGGGACCGATGCATATCGAAAGATGTGACCCCTGTCAAAAGTGTGACTGAATGATCTTATACTGCACGTCAACTGTACTGACTAAAGGAGCGCGGCCGCCTGGCTTTTCATAACATGGGAATATATAGGCAACACCTAGTTTGTGCGTTTTTTCCTACATCTATCTACAATATGTAAGGACGAAACGTTTGATCCCGCGGAACCAATTCGCGTGACTCTCCTCCACCTGTGCTCGTGCTGAGCTCCACTCGTGTGCGATTGGTCTACCAGTACCAAACTCTTCATTTCGGTGCTGCATGTGCATTCAACGCTGTTATGCAAATCAGACATTCGACTATCACGTCCATCATAAATCATATCTAGGCGTTATGCTAGATTAGTGTTATGCAACTTCATTCTTACTCACAAATCATCACTGCACCTTAGGATCGATTACATCTAGCTCCCAGGCCACAAATTAGAACATATATAAATTGAAGTCGAAATTAGGTGTGCGTATCGCGGAGGTATAAAGTCTGGAATATCGAAGTCCTTGGCAACAGGTTGCGTGTGACCATGACTGAATGCTACACGCATTGTCTCGAGAATATCTTGATAAACAAGGTTGGAGAACGCACGAAAATGATCATATGCCAATATGCACGAACGCTATGCGCTGGGAAGGGTATGTCCTTATCACTAGCCAACAACTGGACCGCTCGGTGCAGCGGTCGAGTAGCTCGTTTGGAATTCATTGTGCCGTCCCCGCAAATATTCTTGTAGAATGCCTCGACTAAGGACTGCGCAGTACTATCGTTGACCTTCCATAGTGTCTCAACGACACTCTTGACCCCGGTGAATTACAGGCTAGCCGCTAGATGCATCACCTCGTCCGAAGTCTGATGGTTACTGACTGCAGTTTCACAGGCAGAAGCAATGCTAATTCAGGCCGAGACAGATCCGTTTGTGCGATGTCGAGAAGTGTGAACGGTTGATCGCGCATGAGAAAGGCCGACTTGAAAGGATCTTTGGATACCTGTGTTCTGTGACACCCAAAATAGACCCCAGGAATATCCTGCTGAATGCGCAGTGCTCTCGATTTCGTGGCATCAATACTGGTTATCTTGAAAAACATCAGGAAAACCACCAGTTGCTTTTCTGACTTAACTTGTCACTTACATAATACCTGCAGACGAGCTTATTAGAGACAACTTACAGATGCAATGCGCTCGTGCCATTCAACGACGGCATGGTCTACATGTACAGGCTTGTTGCTTGTTTGGCACTCAGCACTGTCAATCTTTGCTACCACATGGAAGTCAACGGGGATCCGTCGGAGGTCAAGAGTGAGATCAGTTGCACGAATGGCTTGGAAATCGTTAATATGTGCTAAACATTACATACCAGTAATGACAACTTGTTGTATTCCATTGAGACGTCTCTCGCTAGTCCTGGGTGTGTTCTAGGTGGTTAAATTCCTCAGCCAAGGCTGGAAGGGTATCGTTGAGTAGGTCCGACATAGAATCATCTGTCATGGGAAATCATGGGTACCACGTGTTGAGTGAAGGTAGATGACACATACTGTTGATGATGACTTGTAGCATTTCACTGATGACGAGGTTCTAGCGACGAGATTTGACATATGACCGAGGGATGGACAGCTGAGAATAAGACGTGTCCTGGAGAGAAGAGCAGGGGATTCCACACTTTCGCAAGAATTCGCATATTGCCGCGAGGCACTGCACCCTTGACATACTTGACACTGGTTGCGCGAGAACGCATGGGACGAGCGTCCACACGGTCAGAGAATTGACGAGTTACTTACTATGTAGCCAATTGAAAATCGTTCATCTTTCATAGTCTCCACCGATTGCTGGCTTCTAATTGATAGAAACTCCCACAGCTGGAATGTCAATACTGTTTATCCCACATGCATGATTGTTTGGAAAGCCTACTAAAATTACCACTTGGCACCGTAAGTGCCGTCGACGACGCAGGCCAACGGCAGAAACCGTCCAAAGGGCTGACATAATCACATCGGCACATTTTCGCAAGCGTTCAATTCCGTCCTAGTACGGCGAACTCAGTCATTCATTCCATCTTGTCATCCAATGCTTTCCCGTTCTCTCCGTGCTGCCAGGCTTGCAGACACTCGATTAGTTTTTCTAGGTGCATCACGATGGCAGAGGACATATGCAACACCGTCAGATCACAATGACAGCAAACCGCGGCGGAATGAAGAGGGCGAGGGAAATGTGCAGAAAGGCAAGGAGAAGGCTAATAATGGTGCAGCTAAAGAATCTGGAGATGGAAGTCCAGAAATCCCGAAGGGACTCGAGGGCTTTTTCAAGCGATATCAGCAGCAGACTTGGTCTCGTCAGTCCTCCGACGAAGACGAGACTCCACGACAGAAATCACCACCACCACCACCACCGGGCGGTAATAATCCTAATAATGGATTTAACGTCAACCAACTTGCTCTCCTCGCCACATCCGCTGCTATCTTCTACGCTCTAACCAATTCTTCATCTTCGGGCTCGCGAGAAATTACCTGGCAGGAGTTCCGCACCGCATTCCTCGATAAAGCTCTAGTTGACAAGCTCATCGTTATCAACCGGCAGAAAGTCCGCGTCAAATTACACTCCAATGCCACTGGCGCGATGTACCCCGCAGCATCTCTCGGTGGAGATTACTATTTCTCAATAGGCAGTGTCGAGGCTTTTGAACGGAAGCTTGACGAGGCTCAGGCAGAGCTTGGTATACCTCCTCACGAGCGGATACCAGTCGCCTACCACGACGAGATATCTACCTTCAATACCATTCTTAACTTCGCTCCCACTATCCTTTTCGCCGGTCTCCTTCTGTACATGTCGCGACGAGCTGGAGGTGGTGCAGGCGGTGGACCAGGTGGCATCTTCAGCATTGGAAAGAGCAAAGCCAAGCTTTTCAACAAGGACACAGATGTCAAAGTCAAGTTCAAGGATGTTGCGGGTATGGACGAAGCAAAGGAAGAGATCATGGAATTTGTGAAGTTTTTGAAGGAGCCCGCCAGATTTGAGAAGCTTGGTGCAAAGATACCTCGCGGAGCTATCTTATCGGGACCACCAGGAACAGGAAAAACCTTGCTAGCAAAAGCGACTGCTGGCGAGGCCTCTGTCCCCTTCCTGTCTGTTTCTGGTTCGGAGTTCGTCGAGATGTTCGTTGGTGTCGGTTCCTCCCGCGTCCGTGATCTGTTCGCGTCAGCAAAGAAGAACGCACCTTGCATTATTTTTATTGATGAAATTGATGCCATTGGGAAGGCCAGAGGCAAAGGAAGTAGCTTCGGTGGAAATGACGAGCGGGAGTCGACTCTCAATCAGTTATTGGTGGAGATGGACGGTTTCGGAACCCAGGAGCACGTTGTAGTACTCGCGGGCACCAATCGTCCAGATGTTCTGGATCCCGCTCTTATGCGTCCTGGACGTTTTGACCGTCACATAGCCATTGACCGTCCAGATGTCTCCGGCCGCAATGGGATCTTTAAGGTGCACCTCGGACCACTCCGACTAGCACAGGAGCTCGATACGGACAAACTTGCCCAGAAGCTTGCCGTTCTTACCCCAGGTTTCTCAGGAGCAGACATCGCGAACGTCTGTAATGAAGCTGCTCTTCATGCCGCACGCAAGAGTCACGAGTCCGTCAAGGTGGATGACTTTGAGAGCGCAATTGAACGTGTTATCGCGGGTCTGGAGCGCAAGAGCAGAGTTCTTAGTTCGGAGGAGAAGAAAACCGTTGCTTATCATGAGGCTGGTCACGCTGTCTGCGGCTGGTTCCTCGAACATGCCGACCCGCTCCTCAAAGTGAGCATTATTCCTCGTGGCGTTGGGGCCTTGGGGTATGCGCAAGTGAGTACAGATATTCTTTGACAGTCTCTGACAAATAATGATTTTATGTGCAGTACCTTCCTCCAGACCGCTACCTGCTCTCCACTCCGCAAATGTTGGACCGAATATGCATGACCCTCGGCGGTCGTGTATCGGAGGAGATTTTCTTCGGCCCTGAAAATATCACGACAGGTGCTCAGGATGATCTCCAAAAGATCACTCGCATGGCATTTGAAGCTTGCGCAAACTATGGCATGAATACTATCATTGGTCCCGTCAGTTATGGTGGTCGTGAGAGCCAGAAGGAAAGTTGGACGAAACCATTCAGTGAGAAGACGAGCGAAATGTTGGATTTCGAGGTGCGGAAAATGATCATGTAGGTGGATTCGTATGATCTCTGCAACTTTAGCTAATAATAATATTCTAGTGGAGCACATCAGCGGACCACTGAGCTTCTGACACTCCACCGGGAGAACGTAGAGAAGGTCGCCCAACTTCTACTGAAGAAGGAAGTCATTACACGGTATGTTACGCAGTGTCATTTCGGCTGCCTTGAGCTGACGATTGTTTGTATAGTGAGGATATGATTGACCTCTTGGGTAAACGCCCGTTCGCCAATAAATCCGACGATATGGACAAGTGGCTAGATGATAACCGCGGTCATGAGCGCAGCGCTCCAGCACCGATTGAAGAATCCCCCCAGAGTGTTGTAGATCCAGCCCCTGCACCAGTTGCGACGTCGACGAAAATAGAAGACTACAAGTGGTAGTTCCTTCTCTTGCACTGATACACTGAATTTTATTTCACTACGACTCGGGTTCTAGACGGCAACCACATATATGTTTTGTATTTTCATTACACGTGACGCTCGTGTTACCCTTCTACTTACCGTTCTCGATGCGTACTAAATAATATCTAAAGGGTATATCGGAATTGACTCCACTCATCACCCTTCTCGCGTCGTGCATCGTCGATTGTCTCAAATCGCCCATTCTTCAAGGCTAACTCGCTCATATCCTCCCCAGAGTTGTCACTGTTGATCACCTCATCGCGCTCTCCTCTGTCCCTTCGCTCATTCTCCCTACGCAACAGGAACATGAATGCTGCTGAACATAACCAACCAATTGCAATGTAGGCAAGCATGATGCCATGGCCAAGCCTATACCAAGGTGCATCCTGCGCACGATACTACGGGCCAATATAAGCTGGCAGTTAGTTTGAGCTAGTTTTGCGGACTCACAACGTTCGAGGAAACAGCTCCGTTCAAATTTGCCCTTTATTGGCGTCAATTACACTGCCCGGTTAATGTAAGGATCGACGTACCACCCGATAGCCATGGCTAGTGTGACACCTCGTTTATATGAGCCCTCGACGTTGCTTGCCACCCATGCTCTGAAGTACGGTCAGTGAGAGAATTAAGAATAAACCAACTAACGGACACCGAGTTCGCTGTTTCATGGCCGTGTCAGTTCCATGCTATCCGAGTGCGGAAGAGGATTAACACATACGGGCTGTAGGATATATAGCGCTGAGGATAAAATGTTCAGGCTAGTATTTGAGTCAGTGCATCTCGTGAGACTTACGATGAAGCTAGGAAGCATGCAAAATAAGACAATGCTGGAGTCCTGGATGTGATTAGTATGATATAACCAACCAGACCTGGAAGATCTATAGCCTATGTTTCGTCATTGAAAGTTGAAAACACTTGCCCGTTCCGAATAGAATTCTACCGTGTACATGCCAGTGAGACTCAGAAGTTATTTAAGAATGATGTTGCGCACAAATTGATGTACCCTCTCTTCCCGAGGCGGTCACCGACTAATCCCACAATCACGGTCACTATACATGACCAGATGTACACGGGAACGGAAAGCAGGTTCGCTGTTGTCGCTGTGTAACCTGGTACGATGGTCAAGCACTTTAGCAGGATAAACATTGACAGCACTCACCAAGCTGTCAGTTTCAGCAGTAAGGAAAGGAACATGAGAGATAATATCTGAACCTGTGAATAGTTTACGAACCTCATCGATGATTGTCGGGGTGAATAAGGAAAACGCAAATAATGGACCATTACTGAGGACGTATTAGAGCAATCATGGGGCTATGAATCTTTGAACTAACTATCCCATATATATACCCACTATGTCCACTTAGTAACACTGACAACAATGACATGAATGCACGTACTTGCTAAATAGGTTTTCCAGTCCCCGAGGCTTTGCCAAATATATCGGGCTTGGAATGCCTCGCCGCCAGCGCTGAACTGCATGTCGTCCCTCAAACGTCTAATGACGAAAACCCCTACGTTCATGTCAGTGTCGAGTAAGTGTCTTGGAGATCCTCTTTTACTACATACTCTCTTCTTTGGTCAGGAACCCTGCTGTCTCAGGGAAATTCGAGACGACCCAATATGAAGCAACCGCACACAACACGGTGAGGAGTCCTTCGAGAATGAAGATCCAAGACCAGCCAGGCTTTCCTGCGACACCATTCATGTTGGATATAGCAGCGGCCAGGAGACCGCCTACGGTCATAAGATGTTTCACAAAACCTTGGATGTACTGGGAAGTACTCACTGAATGCTCCCGCTATAGTGGCAGAAGTGAAGAATGCTGCTATCCGTGTACCAAGCTCGGACCGCTTGTACCAGCTGCATGCGCGATATCAGCACGGCGAAGTGAGATTCTGAGGTACATGGATCATCAACATACCAAGAGATATAAAATACAATTCCGGGGTATAAACCGGCCTCTGCCACTCCAAGCAGTACTCGCAAGGCTATAAATAGATATTGGGCTCGACAGCGATCAGCTTTCAGAGTATACCAAGCTTACTGACGAGCCCTCCGTAGTTGTGCAGAAATCCGTGGCACATCTTGTCTGGAGTGATTACATTGCGAAGATGTTAGAGAGCTTCTAACACATACCATGACAATTCCCCAAACGAACATCATTGAAGAGAGCCATACCGAGGGTCGAACTCTTCTGAGGATTATATTGCTTGCAGGCTGCATAAGGTCAGTACAACGGGCAAACATCGCATATATTCCCCTTACCTCAAGTAATGCATACGGAAAGAAAAAGGCAGTAAGTGCAATGAGGTATTGCTTATCTGTGATGCCCAAGTCGGTCTCCATGTGGTATAACTGAAAACGCGTCAGAGTCTTGAAGTTCAACTAGTTAGCTATCTAGAAAGCGTCACCTTCGCATTTCCTATACTTCCCCGATCCAAAAAGTTGAGAAAATAGAGGAGCCCCAACCAAGGCACGACTCGGATGTCGATCTTACGAAGGAGTCGTCTCTCGTCGACTTGACTAGTGTCGACATGGGCCTCATAGAGCTCGGCCTTGTCTGTTGTCAATGGGACGACAGATCCTGAATGCGACATCAGACAATAGGATGATGAACATAAGTATCAAACTGTCTTATCGCGTAACAGTGCGCTTGGAACCGGCAGCTATCATGGTCATGGGTAATCCTGAATGTGAGCATACATGCACTTGAATATCCTTCTCAGGCTGTCGGATTCCGACTACAGCATCAAAGGAACGCTTTGCGATATTCATTAATCCCAACAACAGCTTCCAGCCCCCTAAGTACCTCCTTGAACCAATTCTTCACGTCCTCTGTATCAACTCCAGCAGCTCTTACAACCGTGCCTTTGCCATCATCCACGGGAGTAAGGGACCAAAGGAACCTCTCCGGGGTAGCACGCTTGAAAATAGAAATAGTGCGATACTTTGCCTGCAAGTCAGTCACGACACCATGCGTCTGGGGTCCATAAAGAAGAAGCATGGCATAGCATGAATAGGGCGCAAGTCTATCTTTGAGCGTCCGAGGTGGTGAGCGGGTAGTAGGATTCGACAAGCAGGATTCGGACGCAGTTTGGGTATCATAGGGCGAGTTATCTAGCAGTAAAACGTCCCGTACGACGCGGCGGCCTTCTACGAAGACTTCATTAACGCTGTAATACCGGAGGAAATCCCAGTCCTCATCCATAAACCTGCGGCCCGAGGTAACCCAGTCTAGCAATACAATTGACGCACTCCCGGCAAGATGGAATGTTTGCACTTGGGTATAGGATGCAGAGCGGAAGCACGTCACGGGGTCGGGTAGGAGGAAGAGTGCGCTGTCTGGAGCTATGGTAACTTCCATAGATTGAGTTGTGACCGCTTGCAGACTCAGACTACTTGGAGTCGGTTGGAAAGAAGATGTTCGAAAACGCGTGGATGCTCTGTTTCCAGCACGCGTTTTGAAGACTTTGGTGGATCCCTGGCGGACGTGGTCTTAGATAGCCATCCTCATATAATACACACCATCCATCGCACCTGTGAGAGCAGTAAGAGTTTGCATTCTTTTCCTACTTCAACAACAAGTTGCATGCAGTCACCGCCAACCAGACCACCACCGTAGCTCATCACGTACACTATAGCAACCCCATGTTCTGCAACTCTGGGCGATAAGAGCTTGAGCGGATATGAAGACGAGAGCTTCGAAAAGACCACAGTTGATGAATGTAAATCACAGGTGATATGTCCAGTGCCCACAGGAACACTCTCCCCAGTCGTAGAGGACATTCGTTGTCAGTTGACATGGAATGGCAGCGGCTAAAGTTGGAAAGCGATTACCCGGCTTATGTTCGAACCTAAGAAAAGCTAATTTATTGCCGGCCTATTCACAATGTATTTGAACAGCGTATTCCATATTATCCCATACACATTGAGTCAAGACGAAACGTAAAGGAAAATCGAACGAGCGACGATAAAAGAATCAAGCAAAAGTAATAAGATAGGCGAACAAAGATGAATCGAATCGACGATACACAAACGATCCAGGGAGTGGCATGGAACAAATCCAATAATTTTGTACGGCAAATGTGAGAAACTCCGGAAAAGGATATGCGAATCAAAGACATGCATGGGGTCGTCGTGCAGTTCGATCAGGGAAGACTGGGGAACAGCTGGGGAACAGCATAAGGTACGAAAATAATATCAATACTTCCGGGTAGCCAGGGCACGGATTTCATACAGTTCTCGTCGATCAGGCGAACCAAAAGGATCCGTCTGCCGCGACGTTCGCCATCCTTTGATTTCTTGCCTGTGTCTTTCTTCCGCAGCACGACATATTTCCACGAAATTATCGGCCACGTCATAAACAATGGATGCCCTTGAACCACGATCGCTTTCTGACTCGGAATTTGTCCGTATTCGACTGCGTGCTGGGCTGGGGGCGGTGATGATGATAGCTGAATTTGTCGAGCAGCTTGTATCTGACATGGCGCCACTGGCGCATCCTTGGCTGGCACGGATTGTGCCTCCCTTAGCTTCCCACGCATCTTCATCGTCCTCGTCATCTGCGAGATCGGCGAAGACATCTGGTTCTTCTTCATCGGGAGGTAATGTTGACACCCAACACATCCGTGTGGGGTCGAAGATCATGTTGCCGACCTTGCGAGCACCGGCGGCAAAGGAACCTACTGGGGATCCAATAGATGACCCGGTGAGGTGTGTAATCAATGCAGGGCGTGTGGAAGTTCCGACGACTGTATCGAAATCACGGAGCACTTGATCATTTCCTTCCCAACGGAGGGTTGTCGGATTCCATTTCATCTCACCCACAACTGTGTTGACGTTCCCATGAACATCAAATTAGGAGTTACTAAGACTCTATCGTACCTTTTGGTCCGCTTGCACTGCCGAGGTGGCGGATCAGGGTAGGTTTTCTCCTTGTGTGACCAAGCACAGGCGATGAGGCATCTTTCTTCTTCTTTATGGAAATCTCGGTGCCAGAAGCCTTTGGGAACTCAATGCGACTCGTACGCCTCAAGGTGTTGGTGGCGGGTGCAAGTGCGCCAGAGACATCTATAATAGGAAGGTATATGAGGAGGGCGAGCACACAAATACACGTGTTCTTACCTGGACTAGTGACATCCTTTCTTCCCTTCTTGCGCATCGTACCTGTCTCCTTATCTTTCTCCTTGTCGGAAGACTTTGACAAGTTGGCAACAGACCCACGATTTGTCGCCTTAGGTTGTACCCTAAATCTTCCCTCCTTATCTCGATCCGTCGGGAGGTCATCAAAGGCATCTAGTTCAGTGCCGTCACCATATGTGCGTTGTCGCTTTGGTCTGCGCAGAAGTTTAGGAGCTGATGTCGAAGGTACGAGTGGTGTCTGCGTCTGATTAGCACGACTACGTAATGATATTATTGAAGGAGGGCGAGGTGGTATTGGCGATGTCGCGCGATGTGAAGGCTGAGGTGTAGGGAGGGTAGTGGCAGTGGCAGGTCCGGGGAAGACAGAAGACAGGGCAGGTCGTGACTTCATACGCATTGAAGTTGGCATAGTCAAGCGCAGTGCGGCAGGATTTGAAGAAGGAGTAGATGGCCTCGTGGGTGGCACAATAAAGTCGAGACCGTGGATACGACTGGCTGAGCTCGTGTGTGACTTTGCACGCGAGGCAGCCGTGGGTGCCTCGTAGCGTGCGAGTTTACCTGATGATGGACCTGCAGTACCAACGATACCAGAGCCTGATGCCTGAGAGGTGCTGCATTCCATTAAGGAAGACAAAGAGGCTTTGCGGGTAAGCCCTTTGCGTTGTGTCGAGGGAGGGGTAGGGGGTTTAAGGCCAGAATGCGACTTTTGTCCTCGGAGACTGCCAGGTTTAGGGGATAAAAAGGTGTTTGTTGGAGGAGGAGGGGCGGCGGAAAGTGCTTCCTTATAAGTGAGAGCACGTGTACACAATGGGCGCGGTGGGGGTGAAGACGAAAGCTTAATGCGCTGTAACTGACGGGCAGATGATATAGGAGGATTTACAGGTGACTTTGCCCTGTCGGCCCTCATCCTTGAGGGCGGACGTATGGGCAAGAGTGCGCGAGCAGGAGCGCTTTTGCTACGATTGTAGCGCTGATTCTGCTTTGCGTTGACGAGCCTGCTTGGGCTGAAATCGTCATCATCCTCGATAAGGAGACCCGTTTCAAAGTCATCCTCGGGGTCGGGGCTGGCAACCTTTATACGTGAATCAGTTATCAGGACCTGTTTCTTGAGTTCGAGCATCTTTTTGAGATGCTTTGCGCCCTGGCTGGACTCGAAGAGGCCGGAGGGGACAACTAGCCCCTCAAGCTCGCTCTCATTTTCATCGCATTCACTTTCTTCTGTTTCGTGTAGAGAAAGGGAGGATACAGAGTTTGATGACGAGGAAGCATCGGCGAGCCCAAGAGAGGAATATGCATCAGAGGATTGAGATGATGAAGTGTGATCACCCCATTCCAAAGAGTTCTTCGAAGAGCGATGGCTAAGCGAGAGAGGTGCGAGGGACAATTGTGTAAGGTCTGAAGGAAGTGCGAAGGCAGATTCGATATCCTCGTCGATGGGAGAAGGAAGGGGCTTGGCAACAGCCATTTGAAGAGCAGCGACCTTTATAGTGGACACACCTTCATCTTCATCTTCGTCTTCTTCCTCCTGACAAGTGAGTGGGGGACGGATTGTGATCATGTTGCCAGAGGCAATCCTTGAGAAGTGTGACCTGGCAGCCATGCTAGCGACGACGGCCTTTGCCTTTGCGCCGCCAGTTTTCCCGAGGTCCATTTCAATATCCCAATCCATAGCTTCATCTTCATCATCATCATCCTTGTCGGATTCAACGTCGAGAGAACGGATATGGTCGCCATCTGGTAGATCGAAGTCTGCATCTGGCCACTCTTCACGAGCGAGTGGTAGTAAGGGAGCTGGAATGGTGGACATGTTGGATTACAGTATTTGTTGTAAATAAACTATAGAGCCCCGTACGGGGCCGGCGAAGTAGAAGGTCAGTGATGTTTAATGGTAGGGAGCGTAATTGGAGAGAAGGGCGATTAGAAGATATACCGGCCAGATGATTTGGACGGGTGATATTCACATGCGCGACCTATGAACGAACAATGGCCTTGGGTGACGACAACTGGTCAGTACCTGGCGTTTAACGAAAACCGAAGGCGAGGGAGAATGTTTGTAACTATTTGTCATGCAATGTGGTGTCCTCGTCACAAATAAACCAAAATAATATCAAGGTCTTGGTTTATTTGCACACCGGGAATAGTACACTAGAATTAGCTAGTAAGGCATTAGTAGCCGCCTCTGCCTCGCCTCGTGTTCGATCTCATCCTCGGAACCATCCAGATCTTCGTTATCAGAACCACGTTCATCTCCGCCAGTCATCCTTTCAACGTATTCATCAACACCTTTCCTCATCCGAATACCCCTTTCCGCCATAATGTCCACGAACCCATCAAGCTCGCGAGCACTAAACGTAGAACGCAGTGGCCCAAAAGCCACCATGTATAAATCTGCATATCAATTTTAGCTCATAGTTTGATGAGCATCGCAGTATACTTACCTTTGGCAAGCGGACATTCATTCACTGCTCTGTAAAGCAGTTTCTTCGCCCTTTGCAATTCCTCGACCCGAATCTCAAATTCCAAAATGACGCGCCATAAAATAGCGCTTGCCGTCGTCCTGAAAATAATGTCAGCCCACGATAGCTGGAGAAGGATAATGGCACATACCTCTCACTCTCCGCAGCCGCAGTAAGTCCGCTCCTCGTCCGTTCGATCTCACTCTGCCATCGCCCTTTCTCCCACCCAGCAACCCACACTTCTGCGATACGCCGTAAAATGCTCTTTTCCCTTGGGCCTCCATCAGCCGTGCTTTGTCCAAGTTGTGCCCGTACACGACCCCAGATACCATACCCCTTCTCAGCCTCTAGAAACATTCCCAACGCCAGGCTATTGTTCGGGTAAGTGTTGACAGCAATCTGTAGTCGATCCCTCAGGACAGCTGGTGGAGTAGGACTTCGTAGCATGACCGAATGATTGTACAATAGTATAAGAGATGCCACCATCATGCTCTCTCTTGAATCAGAGCTCTCATTAACGCTCGGCTGAGTGTCAAATATCGTGAGTGCCCCATCTTGAGATGAGGAGGTAAGCAGCTCGATCAAGGCTCGCAGTTTTACCCAACCCTCCCGGTCCTTCCACTGCTCGTGAGCGCAGCTAATCGTATCATCGAGAGTGCGTTTTACACGAAGAATCATCATACCACCTGCACCCTCGATGTTGACTGAGCGCTGGATAACACGTAGTACCGCATTCTGGTCACCACTGAGCCATTCCATTTCAGCCCAATCCCACCATAACCGACCAACGAAAGGCTGGGTGGGTGGGTGCTGAGAGGCTACAAGTACCGTTTGATAGACCTTACGGGCATCATCCACCTGCTCGCGCAAGCGCTCAAGACGTGCGTGGGTTGCCCAGTGCGGCAGAGAATCTCGTGCTGTCGATAAAAACGACCGCGAGAGCTTCAGAGCACTGGAGCACCAGCATGAGTGCTATTGGCGCACACATAGAGACACGGATCGCACCTTTTGATATTAAGAGCTGCCTCAAATGCTAATGCATAAATGTCCCACTCGTGGTCCTCACTACCGCACCTGAGCTGCTTGAATACAGCTCGTACGAAATCCTGGTCGATCCCTTGCAGATCTACAGCAGTCCACATGCGCCACTTCTCTTGGCCTACCCACTCCAACGGTCCGAGGGTATCGCGACTCCACTCTTTGATCGGACCGAATGAACAAGAAAATTCTCGTTCTCTGCCTATGAGCGTGCCAGCATGAGAGTCAGCGATCAGCTGCCGCTGTCCTGCAGTAGCAGGAAAAATCGAGTCCAACCGCGGGAAAGAACAGAGGTAAGTGAATGACCATCGATCATCCCAAGATCCCTGCGATAGCGTTTCCGCGAAGCCAGGAATATGCAAGCCTAGAACGGATAACCAGATTAGGCGGAACGCATTCTTGCCACCTTCCGTGCGGAGGGGCAATAATAGTGCCTTGATATCCGAAAGCAGAACTGTCGCGTATGGGTCAGACTGGCTCCTTGTGTCAACGGAGCGGGCGGGCACACGCGACGTGCAATCGGCGCGCGACTCATCGTAATGCCATTGGACATACGGATCTTTCAATTGGATGTCACCGTCCATCTGGGGAATCGCCTTCAACGGGGAACCAGAGTTCTCAGGTCTACCACATGAAATCCAATGACCCCAACCTTTCGCTCCAGGCTCCCCGATGCGCGGTACTTCGGACTCCCAAAATTCTTCGAGGGATTCCAGTTGCGATTCATGGGGAAGTCCGTACAATGGCTGGGGCACCTCGAATGTTCTATCGCAAGTGTGAAAATAGCAGTCATTCGAAGTAGAATTCCACAGAACTCACAGTTCCGCTTGTGCCTGGAATAAGGCTGTAGTACGTTCATAGTAGCCTGAAACAGACCGATAAGGAATACAGATGATCAACGCGGTAGTAGTTCCGTACCTGCTTGTTGGAATGCGACTGCAACTCGCCATACGACTCGTAGTTTATCAATTTCACAGCTTTCAGAGCTACCGAGAGCGCTTAAGACGCGCGTCGCATCCATGACTGACGTGTCAGCTCCACCGGCAGCGGTACGAATGCGCCATTCAAGCCATTCGATCCAAATTTCAATTCCGCCAAGTTTGAGGGCTTCCTCCCACTCGGCCTTGGTTTTACTTTTGTGCCAAACTTCCTCTCCTGCCCTTAAGTAATTCAGGAATAGAATGCGAGATGACCGGTTGTGTGGATGGGAAGCACGAGCACGGGTAAGAATAGCAAGCGTTATCTCTGCCCGAGCTTTGGTCGCGTTTTTCGAGGTGACGGGGATGTTGGACAATGAGTGTCTCACGAGTGACAACCATGTCTCGACTGAAGATGGATCGGCAGCTAACTGCTGCTCGAGTGTCTTCAAAGATAACTGATGTGATGTGAGAATGGGTCCTGACTCATCACCTGAGCTGTCATCTGGAGTAGACGACTGAGAGTCTGAATCAAGGTGTTCTTGCTGCCTGGTTACAGAACGATAGTTTTCGGCAGCTTTGTGACCATGGTCGGAGGGCAGTCGCAAGAAACCGTCCACTTCTTCATATTTGTAACTATCCCCGGATCCAATAATGCGTCGAGACGGGGGTGCTGCCAACAATGTTATCACGCTCGAGTCGGTCAGGGCGGGTTGCTAGAAACAAGGTCATTCATGGATATCTGTTTGACGTAGGACTACGGTACCTTGTGTCTCCTTCCTATGTTTATCTCTATACCCTTGCTTCCGCGATAGATAGTCCAGTCCCCATCAAGACCAAGAATACTTCTACCACCTTGTACATCATTTAGACATCAACAGGGCATCCGAGAGATGGCTTACGGTTTACAATATGGTACTTGGGAATATTCCCAGCGTGAATACCGCCGTAGGTAACATTTAGTTGGTCACCTTTCCGATCAGAGAAAAATACTGGGCGAGAATCCCATTGACTTTCTTGAGTATCACTCTCAGCAAGACGTCTATCCTCCTCGGCCTTGATTTTTTCATCATCCGGTATACTCACTCCCTTCCATGTATGTCCGTGTTGCCTGGGAAGCACCGGCTCAAGGTCGTGCTTCGCCGTCTTATGCTTTTTGTCTTTTCGAGACTTGTCTGCCAACTTCTTGCTGCCACGTCGGCTGTTGTCCTTTTTAACCATGCTATCTTTCTCCCGAGCGTCTGTGGAGCTTTCATTCGGCGTCCGGTCCAGGGTATTCCTACTCGGACCAGGGTCAAGGTCTGGGAACGAGGCGAACGAGGGTGGAAATGACGAAAATGAGGGTGTGGACATTTCGAATGGACCTCAAGGCAGGAGCATCGAACAATTCGGTCGTTGTAGTCGAGTCAGCTGGGCCAATCTTCGTGGCTCGTGGTGCGCAAGGAGCTAGGTACTAATCACGGTGTTCTCAAATCCGTCCAGAACTTGATCTAACCGCTAACATAGATCTGTTTAAGTAAGCTGTGCTTTCGGACATTCCCGATGAGAAATCGAAACTTGCCCCTCACCTCGTTACTCGGAAATCTATTTATTTCAAAGTCAATTTCATTGCAAACTATCACTTTAGCCTCGTTCGCTCCAAGTAACTTCAACTTTGCAATGCGTCCCCTCACAGAAGACGAGAGCAAAGCAGTTTTCACAAAACTTGCAAACTACATCGTGCGTATAATTGCCTCTGTTTTGATACCCCTTCTTCACTGACCCTATAAAAATTAGGGAAAGAACCTCATCCACCTCATCGACCGCAAGGATGAGCCATATTGTTTCAGACTGCATAAAGATAGGGTCTACTATGTCTCAGAATCGTCGATGCGCATGAGCATATCGGTCGCTCGGCCAAACTTCGTCAGCGTTGGCACTTGCTTCGGAAAATTCAGTAAAAGTGGCAAGTTCAAGTTGCACATAACAGCGCTCGACCATATTGCACAATATGCAAAATATAAGGTGTGTTCTATGGACTTGCTGCCCTTCTGGTAGTTTTTGTAACACAATTATTTACTTTGACGTCCGATAGGTTTGGATCAAACCAAACGGAGAGATGCCGTTCCTGTACGGTAATCATGTTGTGAAGGCGCATCTTGGCCGCATAACAGAAGATACTCCTGAACATCAAGGGGTGGTAGTCTTCAGTATGAATGATGTACCATTAGTACGTACTCTTTTCTGATGCCTTCGGCTCAGACTCATCATTTTGGCAGGGCTTTGGCGTCACAGCTCGGTCAACAGTAGATACCCGGAAACTAGACCCAACAGCCATAATTGTCTTCCATCAAGCGTAGGTTCTATTCACCATCACGTTTGCTGTGTCTTACGAAGCATCCATTCCTAGTGACGTTGGTGAATACCTAAGAGACGAGGTAAGCTCAAAAATGCTGCGTCGAAAGTCTGTCATTTGTTTACATTGTTGCCTCAGGAAACCTTGTTTTGATCGCTCCAGTTTTCATTTCTCTTTCTTTCTTTTGGTATGGGAGGTTCATGGACCCACACATCTTAGATTAGCCGTTCATATGTCAGTGGTTTTGTAGTGCTTGGCCACGCGTAGACCGCATATCATCTCTTTACTCTGGTAAAAGTATCGTAGTTTCACCTTACGGATGAAAGTTCTGACTATTTATCGAAGTGAAAGCCATATGTATGGATATGATCCTACATATTTATGTTGAGCGCTGAATGCTCGTCGCAAGACGTGAAGTACACCATCGATCCATGTGCCCAAAATGTCTCAGTAAATGTGTAATGCCGTCTCGAGACCTACGTTCGTTTCGTCTTCGAGGCCTCTCTATATCATCGTAACAAACAAACGGGAAATATTCAGCCGTTTCTAGATCCCCCTCACTGTCATATGCTGAATATGATACTAAGGAGACGCTCTCGAATGTCTCGTCATCACTGTCGTAGTCAGAGTCTCCTGGCATCGAAATGATGTCAGCGTGATCTATGCTTCCGAACGATTCATGGCCAGCACATGCGGCCATGTCCCGCTTGTATATGTCCTGCATCATGTTTGCACATGACTCTGGATCCCTGGAAAATGCCACTCCAAGGTCTCGCGGTGCTGCACCGGGTCGGGAGGGATGACGAGGTGATGTCGTAGCCTTGTAGTTCGGAGCAGCGCCCGATTCAAAAACCCAATGGCTTGGAGTTGCCGAAAGCACTGAGACTTCCATAACACCTGATTAGGGAGAGGTGCCACGTCACCCGGTGACCCAGATATCTATCCGCCGCAAAGTCTTGTGCAACAAAGCCCTCCCATACATAGGTGAGGGACAATGGTCTAGAAGAGCATCAGTGGACATTTTGCATGCCCAGAAGGGGCTCATGGGCCGACTCTGTGAGTTCCGTTATACTATGTGGGAATATTGCAAGGTGTTCCAGCAGGGTAGCGGTCTATAACCGACTGAACTAAACGCAGAAGAAGTTCAATGGCCCACAGTGTGTGGTTGAGGGGAGCAGTGATGGAAAGTCCTCCAAGTGTTTTGTGTGCAACCAAAAATTTGAGGCAAGTAGTGAGACTTTGGATGGTTCGAGTTGCCATTCATACCCGTGAAACGGCAAAGGCAAGGCAGTTTCCACTTCAGAGCGATTGCATTAAGGAAGTCTAATCTGCGGTAGGAGAACCACAACACGGTAATCTGACATTCCTGAAGGTGTTCGAGGGTAAAATATTTGACACAATCCTTGTCGTAGGTATCAAGGACAAAAACAAGATGGTGAGATTTTTGCACTGCGGAAGGCATATAAAAATTACTGACAACCGCTCCTTTCCAACGTCGAGGTGGACTACTTTCGAGGGGTCATACTGGCGTATAGAGAATACCGATAGGTAGCTGACCCACTTTAACGATAATCGCGTAGCATTTGGGCTCATCCCCAAGATGCGTTGCAGGTACTGGGACGTTACATGGCAAGACATTGATGACCATAATCATCTCGCCAAGTTGCGTATTGCACTGCAAAGTACTGAGGAGTACTGTGACTATTCCGATGCGGCGAAGATGTATTTCTCGGTATAACGGAGGGGTGCTGATCTCCTGCCAAAATTTGCAGGCAAGAACTAAAGTTCTCTTTGTCCGCTGCGCCAGCCACCAACTTCAGACAAATGTCCGCAAGCCAAGGATGCATTTAGAAAGACTATCCAATAATATTTCTAGAGGTGGCTGCTTGAATGTCAGTGGCCTGCTAGCCTCTGAATCACTAGCATCAGGGCGTTCTCCCTACAAGTCAATCCTATCAATAGTTTGCCCAGGTGGGTAGCGGAAGGTAGACGGACTGGTCACGAGCCTAAGCGGAAGGGCTCGCTCTGAAAGTAGGCGGTGACAGGCGGTGATAAGTGCCTTGCAAATGATTCGGACAGACTCATTTTATAGGCACAATGACACTACAATAAATATTTCATACATGCCTCAGATCAGTAAACATGATTCTTGAGAAGAAAGAAATGGTATGAAAACATACGGGTTTTTGGGCTGTAGGCGGCGCCTACGGTCACTGGTCGGGGACCGCCTCCAACCTGTGACGGTATTTTAGGATGGATGTTTCGAGATGATGGAGGTGCAGCAATTAAACTTCTGGATTCTAGCCTTCACAGAGTGACTCCTTCGGAATGCTGAAGGCTCCAATATTCAAGTTGATTAGTAAAGTTTGATCACACAATTTCACTTGATGTAATCACACGCAGGTGGTATGCACGTGGCGTACTTTGCACAGTGTAGCACTACTAACTCGAGGCCCCAAGGTCGTTCATCATATCCTCATTACCACCATGGTCTCCACTGAGTCGTCATATACTCGCTGGGAAACTCTCAAAGACCAGGAAATCACAGTCAGCGACGTTCAGGACACTCTTGTCCCAGCCAACGATGACCTGTGGGTGGCAGCTGCCTGCGTCGACCGGTTCGTGAGCGATGAAGTAGTTCAACGTTCCCTCATCGAGCTTGGAATCAATCGAACGAGCGCAGCAGTGCAGAGGTGCAAAGAGGTCCTTCTCCTACCCTCTGGGGCTTCTGGAAGTTCTGACGCTGTAAATGAGCCTAAAGAACTGCTTAACGCGTACTTCACTGACACACCTGAAGATGCTCAACTGTGTCTCATTCGGACTGCTCTACTTGCACGCCTCGACAGACTGAATTCCTTCGCCGAGATCTATAAGGAGCTTCTGGCGAAGAAGAGAGACGAGGAAGACAATCCAGGGATCGATGAAGAATGGGAGGATGACCCTTGGAAAGAGGAAGTGGAAGCTTCTATCATTGCTCACGCAGCAACTCCTGTTCAACCTCCTATACCGCTACAGGACTTTTTGACAGAGGACATTTTGGATATGGCATGCTTCTATGCATCGCAGGAGTGTTTCGGCGCTGTACGAACACTTCTAACGCATCACCGCTCGTGTCTGTGGCCATCCCGCTTCACCATTCTGAAAAGCATACCGTGTCACTCTAACCCTTCCGACTACTGTGACGTTCTTCCAGCCTATGATATGGCCACAGACAAAGAGCTCGCAAGCCCGTTACACAAATGGCGGACGGAAGAAGATTGGGTAGAGTCAACAGAGGTTCAAGCGGCTCTTGCACAAATGAAGCTCTCAGCTGAATTCGAAGCTCTGCATCCCTCTTCAGCCAACGTTACTTCCCAAGAAGGTCAGCTGCTATCTGCACAGCAACTGACTGGTTGGTACCGGAGGCGTGTCGACCAGGTCATATCATCGACAGGGATGCTAGACATGGCACTTTCCCTTGTGCAGCATGGTGGCTCGCTAGGCATCCCAGACCTTGACGAGCTAGGAGAAGATCTGAGCTTGATGACCCGGTTGGTTTACGACATTCCTCGGGCGTGGGCTCAAGATGACGAGGATTGGACTTTAGCGCGCTGGCGAAGCATGGAACCGTCCCAAGTCGTGGGTGCATACCTAGCTCATTCAACAACAGATACCGTAGCTAAGGATATCTCGCGGTTAATCATGCCCTATCTCTTCGTTTTGGAGTCGCGGTCGGAACGAGCTGGTCAGCCTGACCCAGACCTTCCTGACCGTCTTCTTCATAATTACATTCTTGGTGCACCGTTGGATATTGTCGCGGCAGTCATTGAAGCCTCCAAACCGACTTTACTTCCACCACAGAGGGTCATCAAGAATGATGAGGACGTTGCACAGCTTGCTCTGGCTTGCCTTTACGGCAGCAACAGCCTCACCGAGTGGGTCACAATGAGCCGAATTTTTGAGTGCCTTCCCGCATGGGACATTGGCCCAAGTCCTGAAGACCAAGCAGATGAAGCAGACGCTACGATCGTTTCTCTTGGGGAATTCGTGACGCCATCCACAGCGCACCCTCAGTGTAGCGCTACAGATCTACTTTTTTTCTTCAAGCCTCTTCCGGTCGCTTCACTTTCGCGCGCCCTTGATATTCTTGACGTCCATCTTGAATCCGGAGAGATATTTGCGCGGTGGAACGTTCCCGCACCATTACGCTGGTTCCTCCAGAGCGCAGGCAATGCCACAGAACAGCGTGCTTGGGCCAACAGGATGGCTCGTCGCACTGGTACCACCGCCGACAAACTCGGCGAGATGCAGGACTGGGAATGGTTGCTTGATGACATGCTAAAACTTTGTGGGAGGAATGAATCTGGTGTACCAAGTGCCTTTGGACTTTTGACGGAAGAAGAGGTGTCATCCATATTTTTCAGCGGGCTTCTGAGCTCTGGTCGTGAGTATACCAGCTTTTGGTCTTGACTCGATGCTCAACCGTCAATCAGGATTTGATATCGCCAAAGACTTTATTCATTCCAAGCACAGCAAGCTAGCCCTTAAATCCTCCAACATTGAAGATCTCTGCCTTGCCGCGTCTCGCGAGTTTTACGACAACGCAAGCTCCGCTAATTACAAAGTTGGCGACATGAAGCTTGCCTATGACTGGTGAGCCCTCATAATACCGGAGGATACCAGGTGCTCATATACTCCCTTTAGCTTGGACGTTCCTGCACCATCTCAACGGTTAACAAAGGAGCGAGATTTCATCGAAGCCACATCCCGCCTCTCTTCATTCAATGTCATGTCTCGACCAGGAATTCTCATTTTACCCATTGAGATACGACTCACTAAAGACCGCCTGTCCCTGATCTCCCGGGTCCTTTCGAGCAATGCAGACGCCTATAAGCATACACGAGTAATGCTCGACCTCCTTCACAAACTCGGGTTCCGAGACGACGTTGTTGCAGAGGTGAAGACTCTCGCAATGATATCTGACGCCGCATTACAAGCGGAGGAATTTACGCGGGCTTTTGATACGAACCAAAAGATGATCGACGTAGTGTTCAAGCTTCGCTCAGCTGTTGCATCATCAGGGTCAGAGGACCCACGACTCCAGGAGGCCAGCGAAGTTTGCTGGCTCGCCTGCTTCCAGCTTGGGCGGCATCCAGAATTCCCGGACGTTGAACAGAAGCTCACGCTTATGGGTCGTGCGCTGGAGCTGTGCCCGGCAGACAAACTGAACGATATTTTGATTCCTTGGCGGCGAATGGAACAAGAGGATTTGGAGGGGCGCAAGGAACGGCTTGCTGATCATTCCCCTCGTCTGAAACCTGCTACTACAAAACCTGTCTCTTCCCTGCAATCACGCTTAAAAAATCTCCATGTTCCCACAACTCCCCTTCTTAATGCCGAGGATGCGGCTGCCCTCGCTGGTCGAGCCTTCAGCCGCGTGGCATCTAATTTCCCCTTCAGAGTTGGTGGACGCGAGCGTTCGGAGAGTCGCGAGGGTCAAGCCAGGTCGGGAAGTCGAGACGAAAGCCACCGCAGGCTGGATGGTGAAGACGTCTCCCAACAAGCAAGTCGAGTGCTTCAACGAGGCCTTGGCTGGCTGTTGGGGGCAGACGACGAGAGCTGAACTGGTCGAACTCTTATATACATGCATAGGACTTTTGGACAGCTAGACTGTTTCTATATATCACATACATCTGCTTGCGAGAAAACATAACTAACAGTATACAGTACTCAAAGAGATATGCCGATTGAGAGGTATATGTGAACTGGACAGAAAACTAGTAACAAATCAAAGGTATCAACAATGAACGACAATGGGGAAAGCGCCAGAAAGAATGTGGTAAGTTACTGATAAGTTTATAAGATGAATAGAATTATACCTAATTAGCGATGGGGGAGGAAAAACAAGAAGTTATACATAAAGACAAGAGCTAGATGGATAGTGTAAGCCCAGATATCAAAACGCACACGATCGACTGATTAGCAGTCATATTTACTGTGGCCCAAACAAGAAATAATGAGTGACGAGTACCATGATAGCGATCCAACCTTCCTAGATAAGTGAATGGGGTAGTCGTGGTGATTGGCAGACGCCAGCCTAGATCCTGCTGACGAAGCGAGCGGTATCGCCCGTGCGTCCTCTAGGTCTGTCGACAACACCAATTTTCTTCGTTCCTGCATTAGAAGCTTCATGCTCCTTTCTGAGACCACCCCTACCGCAGTGTTCGCAATATCCGTTGTCTTCATTCACAGCATGGAGGTCCTCGATTTCAGCTTGCAGGTTCTTCACTTGACCTTGCAATTCCCAGATCTGGCGTTGCCAGGCCGTCTTCGACGCTATCATCTGCTCTTGCAAAGTCTTGATTACGAGGGACTGTTCCACTGGCGATGATTTATCATCGCTGGGTCGTGACAATCCAGGAGTGAAGGGCGAGAGCGCTGCCACTGAACTGATAGTAGATGTCGGCGTGTCCAGTTCGAGTTCTGGCGCATGCTCTACCTCTGAGATGGCAACAATGTCTGCAAATTGAGAGCTAAACGTCGTAGATATTGGACGTAGTTTGAGAGCTTGAAAGTCAATGGCCCCAAGCTGAGGGCGCCCAGGTGTTTTGTTCCCAGACTGGGGTGACTGAGCCGGGTCTGTGGGTCGAGGTTCAGTGCAGAGTGGAGAGTGATTTGATGCGCCAGTGGATATGTACAACGAGGGCGGGACGCGCTTCAGCGAAGGTGAGGACAACTTTGGGGAAAGCTCCTGTTCGGCATCCGATGAAGACTCGTTGAGGGCAGTGCTGCTCCCGGCATCTGAGCTTAAGGATGACAAGCGAGGTGGGATTGTCGGAAGCGACGATTTGCTACCTTCATTCCCTACGTGAGGGTAGTCTGAGTATACACCATGTAAAGGCGGAACTGGGGGCGGCGGACTCCTCCCCTTGTCGCGACATTTCTCCCGCTCACGCCCGTTAAAGAGTCTCATAAACCCGCTCTTCTTGTGTTTCAGGGTTTGTCCGCTGGAATTAGCGACATCGGGTTCTGAACCCCTTCGCTCAGGCTTACTATGGAAAGATGCCGCGACAACTGAATGAAGGACACCTTTGGCACGAGCGCCAGCACTAGTGGAGCGAGCACGAACCCGCTTGAAGTTGCCAGTAGCGGAAGTCTCAGTACTCGCTATACTGGCAGAGTCGTCTGGCTCAGGAAAAGGAACGCGTGAAGTAGTCTCATGGACCTGAGAGGGGGACGAAACCATGACATTGGCGGTAGCACTGCGGGTCCTTTCTCTCGCCTGTGCCTCCTGCAGCGATATCAAAGTGACAGTTGCAGGAGGATAAGCATTCCAACCTGGGACACCTTCAATTACGGGTGGTGGGTGAAAAGACGGTAAGTTGGTGCTCTGATCGCATTGCGCGGAATTGAGGTCGTTGGAGTGGAGGACTGTGATGGGAGGAGAAATATCTTTGCCATGAACGCGCATGCCTGTGGAAGGGATGTGATCTCGTGATGGTATGGATGAGGCAGAGGTGTCTGGTGTTATAGGAGATGAGAAAGCACCGGACCGCGAACTTAGTGAGTCAATTACGGTGGCGGCCGAATTGCTTCGCGAGACATGTCCAAAGGTAGAACGGAACTGAGCAGGTCTAGGAGGGGTATAAGAAGCCACCAAATCAGGGTTGGCATAGGGATGTACGAAGTCCTCGTGAGACAGACGACATTGGGAAGTATGAAACGACGAGACAGTATCACTACGTTCGTGACCTCGTGTAACCTCCGAAACTGGAGAGTATGGTCCAGGTGTATCTTGTGTGGAGGACGACGGCCGAGAAATGTGTCCCATTTCTCGCAAGGAGCTAGTGGCAGACTGAGTTTCTTCTGGCGTGTGTTCGTCATAGTGAGTTGTGGGTGGATAGTTTGTAGTGCGGGGAAGAGAAAAATTGTGGCGATTTCTTAGCGAAGGGGCAGGAAACCGTTGAGAGGTGGGAACAGTCAAAGAGGAGGTTGAGAATGATTCCTGGGCCAGGGTGCTGAATGTTGGGGGTCAAAACGTCACATACTAAGAGAGACAAACACGTACTATAAGGCACCTCGCGAGTTAGAATGATTACCCGCAATAATTTCAAAAGAACCATTGGACTGAAGCTGAGAACGGGTTGACTCGGCGCTGGGTCTGGCGGAGGAACTCTTGCCAAAGTGCCGCATGAGATCAGCCTTCGTAGCCTTACTTTTGACTTTCTTGCCAAACGCAGTGGACATGGCACTATGATCCGAATCGTTCTCGTCGATGGTGTCTTCTCCAGTTTCCCAAGGAGCTCGAGAGTGAAACCGTATCTTTGGGCCCTGAACACTTATCCTATGGGAGGAATCATCATCTTCGTCGTCATTCTCCGTATCGTCAGTTGCATCTGCAGTGTTAATTAAAACACTCGCAACGTCCTCATCATCGAGGTCCAAGCTACTCGCTGCATGATCATCAAGGTAGTCGGAGTTGGACACGGATAGCCGACGCTGGCTGGAGGTGTCTGGTCCATCATAACAATATGAACTGATATTCGGTTCGATATCCCTGCTGTCTGGAGAGAAGTAAGCGTGACTGTAGACTGATGGGGAATCGGGAAATTCGGATATTGAGGAAAAATGGGTGTGATGAGGAGCATAGGAGCGGGCGCTTCGAAGGTCGTCTTGAGGGTCCCATGGAGAATGGACGGACCTCAACATGACCGCAGAACTTGGTCCAAGGTAAGATATGCTTCCAACTTGGTTCTAACACATTATGAAATACAAATAATCCCACGTATAAAAAACAAAGTCATTCGCTTTACAAAATTAATTTTATTAAACTATCCTCCGATGGTACGTACAGGGCCTCGATCGGTACGCGAGAGTACGCATCAAATCAAATCAAAAAACATATACATAAGTAACCTCCGAGAACAATTCACCTTGGAGACTCATCATTAAATTAACTTACGTAATACTTCATCCACTATCCTAATATGGACATGAACACCTTCAAGCATCAAACCACAATGGAGTCAGAAGAGCTTGTCCCTCTCACTTCCTCATCACATGGACGCGTCTCTGGGAAATCATGGAAGGCACAAAAATCAGCCACCTTGTACGTACCATACTTCACTCAATCTGGGCAAAACATCATTCCGCAATTAGTCGAACGCAATGTTCTGCCGGACACAGGTCCAACTTTGAGGAACGAATGAAGAAGACTACAAAAACCAACGCTGCAAAGAAGTTGGAAACTGAGCTCAAAAATGAGAAAAATGCTGAGAAGCAACGGTGAGCGACAATTTGTGCATCGCGTTGGGGATCACTGATCTAATCCTGTGGCGTAGGAGACGAGAAATCACCCTCGAGAGGAAAAACGCAGCGGAGGAGCGGCGCAGACTGGAAGAAGATAAAGCAAAGGTACATCCAGGTCCTGTATCCACCTTTCAAGACTAATCGTAACCAAGATGGGAGCTAGAAAAACCGCGAGGCTACGACGAAAAGCAGGACGCACAAAAAAGATTCATGGTTAACCACTGCTAGAGATATTGTATTAGAGCATACTATGTCCATACAATGTACCGTCCCTACAGCGTCCAGGTCGTGTCCAATTCACCTGGTTTCACGAATGGTTTATCCAACCCTGCAACCACACTCTCGCATAGCGGACAACTGCTCGCGAGAACGTCGTCCAGCTCGGCCCGTAACTTCTCTACCTTCTTCTCAATGTCTTTATCCACCCCAACCTTTTTTCCCCCACTCATACCCGGTATCCACCCCGGTGCAGATACAACCGAAGCCAGCGCATCTGGAACAATGAGATCTCTTAGGCGGTCTCCAGCAGAAAGTAGATTCCGTCCGAGGAGATTCGCTGCCTTGCTACCATTCTGTACAGGGCTTCCAAAGCTAGCAGACAGGAGTGTGCGCTGTTGAGTTGCCTGGCGCGAATGCCCGTTTGGCGTGACAGAGACTGCATTATCAAGATTGGTTTTTTGACCTCCCTTCACCAGCTCCGTCTGCAGAGTAATGATCCGCCGGAGCGCATGTGTAGGAAGATATTCTTTTGCCTTGACGACCGTGCGATTCAGTACTTTTTTTCTCTCTTTAATAGCAAGAGTAAACATACCAATCCGATCAGACAATCTGCATGGAAGGTGTGCTGGCAGGGGAAGACGTAGAACTGTCTCGTTAACAAAGGCTGAGAACAAACGGAGCACCTTTCCCCCGCATCGATAGTTATGAAACGATTCTTCAACTCAGCGATGTCCTGCTTGATCGACTCCGCAGTACGAGTCGCATCGTCCATCTCTCGTTTCAAGTCATCGATGTGGGCTGAGTAACCTTCCAAAGCATGCGCGATTTCCTCCTTGAAGTCGTCAATAACGACGAAATCAGGGAAGAAAGGCAAAATATCCTCAATCTTGAGTATATTCGTGTTCTCCAAGAATTGCATTGCGCTACGCAGACTCATGAGCAGGAAGGCCCACCGACGAAGATCTCACTTACGTTTTGATGTCCTGTTTATCCTGCACCACGTATCGCGCAATCTTGAGCCAAAGCTTCTTCTGCAATGGTGCGTCGTCCTCCGGTTTGTTGGCATTTTCCTTTGCGAGCTCCAAGTCACCCTTCTCTAATGCCAGGTCCACACTATTTTCCCAAAGACCCATTTGCGAATAAATGTGAACGCATGATTGAATGCGCCCCGTTCTTTTGCACACTCGAAGAGCGTAGTCGAGGTCATAGTATGGTTTGCCTGTCATCGGATCCGAGGGCGCAGAGGTCAAGAAATTTAGCAATGGACCATCCTCTTCTGAAGAACGAGGTAGCCGAGTCGCAAGGAATGTCACGAGAAGATTATGAACCATCGGTGACTTGTCACCCTGCTCAAACACCACATAACTGAGGTACCGCACAGCGTGGTCGGGAGACAGCGGGTCGCGAGGAAGATGCTGTAGCTGCAGTAGGGAAGGAATGAGGCGCAAGGGATCCAAAGACGGTTGTTTTAACCAGGATTCAATCATCTCCTTGGGTGCTTGCCTGGTCAGCACGGTACCGAAGCGGTAGTATAACTCGGGGTTCGTCTTCCTCCAGTTAGTCAGGGACATTGCAGTGCACGAGTATAATGCTTACCTGGCGGTTGAGTACATCAATGGCCTTGGTCCACTGTTCTTCTAATATCCAGTGTGCAATAACGCGTTCAAAGTCACCGACCGCCGTAGCGTAGTGTAGGAACATGTCAGTCCGCCCATGACCTTGGATCAATTCATAAACAACATTTTTGTCTAGATTACTCTGGGGAAGATATGTTCAAGTGAGTAAGTCATGTATAGAATGGTGTACCTTATATGTATCGAAGAATTGTCGTAGGTCGTCTTCGAGTATCGCACGCTGAGTTTGCAGGTTTTCGGCATCGCTGGTCACCAATTCAGAAGCACACAGGTTGTCCAGTTCATTACATCTGCTCAGATAGAATTCCACGAGCCATGTTGCCAACATCATCCGCTGAGTCAAGTCCTACCATGGAAAGACAGTGAGGGCCCGATTACTGGATATCGCAGAGGGAAAACTCACCGACTTCCGCGTCCGCTCGAGTCTTGAAATCAAGTAAGAGCGCAGTGCATCCCGTTCGCCAGCATCCAAGAACTTTAATGCAACTTCCTCGAATAACGCAGAACATTGAGAATAGCACTGTGCAGCCTGGAAATAACGACCCTCATCAAAGAATGCATGGGCTTGAGCAGACAGGATGCTATCTCGCTGGCCCGCAGTCTGCACTCAACTAATCAGTCAGCATCCAGTGAAGGCAAACTAAGTAATATTACCGACCTTTGCATACCGAAGTGCGATGTCAAACTTCTGCTGAGCTAGATATATCTGCCAGACGTCCCGATTCTCATTGCCAACAATAAGCTCGAAAATGGATTGATCCGTGTAGGCCCAGTATGTTTTACGAACTGGGTCAGCAGCAAGTCCTCGTACGACTTCATTTGGCCTCTAAGTCAACCCTCAGCAACAATGTGACCTGCGTTGATACGTATGACCTACCAACGGCATGGCATCCTCATAAGTCTGCTTTCCATTCAAGGTGGAGATACCAACAATGCGGTCCCTGTATAGCAAGATGAAGTGGAACTCCGTCAGGGAAATGGAGACTGGGACTTCTGGGGGTGACTGAGAGGTATCAGGGGATGTGCCAGGTAAGAAAGATGGGTATGGATGGAGTTGTGTTGAATCGATGTGGTCGTCAGAATTCGGGTCGAAGTTGAGCGTCCCGTGATAAATACCAGGAGCTACGAACGTTCGCATTAGGTGAAGGAAATCATAAACACAAAGAAACACACCAGTCATCCAAGCAAGATTCTTCGGGAGGGAGAGTGCCTGGTCTGAGTTAGGGGTGTAGAAATGAAGTTCGGAATACTGCAGATTTCCAGGTAGTTCGGATATTTCTTATTCATGTCAGCAAAGAGCTATGCTGCTAAGCACGCAATACTTACTCGGCGTAGTTTCCCGATATGCGGCGAACAAGGAAGAGAAAACACGACCACCCTCCTCAGACCGCCGATCTGGTGAGCCTGCAAATTGATATATTCGTGAAGGAGTCGTAACGATAACCAGGGCATTCCGCAGATCAGAGGGGGGAAATAGGTCAAACTTGATCCCGGTGACTGGATACTTTTCAGGGAGGGTAAACAGAAGCTGCAAGTACCGTTCCTGTGATTTGAAGAAATCCTCGCCAGCATCTAACACAGCTTCGAATATACCACCATTCCGCGTGCCGATCAAAAATTCTCTTGTTGACATGGAGTGGGTGGATGCCAATAACGCAGCCTTATTCCACGCAATGCTCTCGATTACCATCTTGAACGACTTGAGTTGCCTAGGCTTCTTCCAGCCACGGTATAAATACCAGTTCTCGCCTTGAGTGGAAGTGATGATAAGATGGCGGCCTGATGGGTCGAGAAAGATCTTGTGTATAGTCAATTCGGTCGCTTTTCGTGGGATGGGGACCGTAACGACATGCTCTGCATGAGAGAGCTCGATGAGAACTATGGCATTTGACGCTAATGCCATGGCAAGAACATCTGAGGAGACTGCCAAAGACACGAGAGGAGATGGAAGCGTATATTGGACACGTCCGAGGTCGAATAATGGTGTGTTGGCCGTAACTGGGCTCGGCAATGGAGCATCCTGTGGAAATTCAGTGAATGAATTCTTCTAATATTTGTTCACACACCAAGGCTCCAGTATGTTCTAATTCGGCATGAATTTCGCTGTCATAAGGCGACGGCTCGTAACCCTCGTACTGGACTTGTGGAAGAGGCGCAGTGCCACGAGAATGACCTGCTGTTGGAGCAGCGTGCTCGACGACTACGTGTATCGTTAGCAAATGACGTCAAGATATAACCGCAAGACGTTACAGTCGTCGAACATGGCACAGATGGCAAACTGTGGCTTCGGTGGTGACTTGTATAATTTGTTTCAAGTTACAGCACTCAGTCTTATTATACTTAGTCACTACCACTTAAGCGGGACCAATTTAGGATGGCCTCCTTTTATTACCCACAGTTCTCAGTTTCACTCACTGATCATCGATACCAGTGTTAGCCGTCATCTATTAGTATCATGACCCCTCCAACACCAAGGCTATTTCTTATTCGACATGGTGCGCACAGTACTATTCATATTTGGCACTAAGTAGAAGAGTTGACTCGGATTTTCTTTAAAGGTGAAACAGAATGGTCCTTGAATGGGTGAGGTCC